TCTATGATCTGTATGTCCTTGTTTACTAAGATCTGTCTGTACTGCTCACAAGACAAAGGTGTTCACTGTACTTAGGCACATGTGACTACAATAAATCAAAACAAATATATGAAATTATAGCAATCCATAATAAATGATGCAGCTTTACTGCATGCATCTCTGATTGCCTGTTTAATGCCATTCCCGATTTCTCCACTATCTACAATTAATGATAACATTCTGCTAGCTGTCCTAATTACTTGCTTTATGAGCATATTAATCTTTTGTGATTCATGCATGAGGACAGCGAGATGCCTGCATCTCAGAGCTCTGTAATCCTTACCCATTTAGGTAACATGTTTACTGTTCTTTCTGCCTGAAACAGACAATCTCTAATTTTCTTACATTATATTCAAATTACCAAACCTTTGACCACTCACTAAACCTATCCATTTATAGCATCCTTATGTCCTCTTCACAACTTCCACTCCTGCCTATTTTAATGGTATCAGCAGATTTAACAACAATACCTTCCACCCCTTGTTGCAAGTCACTTATCTCAAGGGTCACTAGACTCAAAATGTTAACTCTGTTTTCTCTCTACTGTCAAACCCACTTTGTCTCTCCAGCACACACTGTTTTAAATTTCAGATTTCCAGCATCTGCAGTTCTTTGTCCATTTATCCCGATTCTCTTTCCTGTAAGCCAGCCGATTTTCTTTCCAAGCCAATATGTTATCCCCTATTCCACGAATCTTCATTTTCTGCAAAAGTTTTGATTTATCACCTTATCAAATACCTTATGGAAATCCAATTACAATACAGCCACTGTTGCCCCTTTATCCACAGCATAATACTACTTCCAAAAGGAGTTGGTTAAACATGATTTCTCATTCACAAAACCACATTGACTCTACCTGCTTACTTTGTCTTTCTGTAATGCCTATAATAATAGCTTCTAAATTATTCTATAGGAGAAATGTCAAGCTAACTGGCCCTTGCTTCCTCCTTTATGTTTCACTTTCATTTAGAATAAAACTAAATGTTACATTAATCTTTTTCCAATCTAATGAAATCTTCCTTGTAACTAGGGAATTTTGGAAAATTAAGCCAACTATCTCGCTAGCCAATTCTTTAAGACTCCAGGATAAAGTCAATCTACTTTAAAGAGCTGAAGGCTTTTTTTTACTAGATTCAAATATACAACGAATATCATCAAAAAGACCAGCTCAATTATTATAAAAAATTGTGGAAAGTCAGCAGGTTAGACTGAGGCGTATGAGGTGAGGAAAAACAGGTCATCTCTACCTAAAACATTAACTTTTTCATCAGCACTAGGTAGAAAAAAATTAAGGTTTCAAGATAGTAAAAGAGATGATAATGGGAAAAAGATAGAAGTGAAGCTATGTGATTAGGCCAAAAACAGGAGAGATAAATGACAAAAGAATTCATAGTGCAAAACCAAAGGAAATGATAATGGGACAGGTAAAGAAACATCTCTTTCCACTACTGATACTCAGTAGCAGCAGTGTATACTATCTGCAATATGCACTACAGAAGTTTGCTAAAGATCCTGAGTCAGCACCATCCAAACCCATGAGCACTTCCATCTAGAAGGACAAAGGCAGCAAATACATGGACACACCATCACCTTCAATTTCCTTTCCACACCGCTCACCATTCCTGACTTGGAAATACATCACTGTTCCATCACTATCGCTAGGAATCCTGGGAATTCCTTCCTTCATGGTATTGTGGGACAACCCACATCATGGACTACAGCAGTTCACGATGGCAATCTACCACCACCTTCTCAAGACCAATTATGGATGGGTAATAAATGCTGGCCCAGCCAATGATGCCCACATCCAACAAGTAAATAAAAAAAAACCTTCCTTTTGGTTCTTTTAATGCCCCATCCCCTACCTGGTTTCATTTGCTTACAATCTATTTCTAACATTTTCTGGTTATGATTAAAGGTCATTCACCTGAAACATTAACTGTTTCTTACTCCACAGATGCTGCCTGATCTGAGTATTTCCAGCAGACAGGGTAAAACCTGTGGTTGTAATGTTTGCCCTTTGTAAACATGTACTATTGAGAAAAATAGTCAGTTGCATTCTCAATTTCTACGTAATGTTGAAAGATATGCGGTTCAGATGACAAAAAGAGATTAGATCCGATAGCCCTGCCAGTGTTTACTATCTGCACTAACACATGTCCATTATATCAGATGCAAGGTGGTTGCTGGCATGTATGGAATGTGAGGAGGGCACAAAGATTGTGAAAAGTATCCTAGCATGTACATTCATTGGAGAAAATGTCATTGATGCTCTTACATACCAGCCAATTGTGCTTTAGCAGATTTATCTTATTACTGAATGTTTTTCTGCAGTTTTATGATGTTTCCTTAAATTTTATTAGTGTAAGCATTCAGTCACTTTTAATGGGTGTACTAGGCAGTGTGCTGCACAACTGAACCATTTTTATCCTTCTCTAACAAGGAGTGTAAGGAACTGAAAATAAGTAATACATACAACAATTAGGTATGTATATATACGTGCCGGATGGTGGGTGTCTACAATATAGGACGTGTAGATGTGGAAGCAGGAAAGAGAGATTCCAGAAGCACATCCCTGGATTTTCACATCAGTAATATCTTTCAGCTTGTGTTAACAATCATTCGAAATGGATGAGTGCCAGCTTTAAAATCATTCCTTTTCTTTCAAAAAGCGTAGATTTCACTGTAAAAGAGTGATAAAGCAAAATGTACATTCAAATGAAAGACAAAGACACAATGACCAAGAGCTGGATCCGGCAGCTGCATTGACCCATCCACAAATCCTAACTCACATCTCAAGGTTGTCACAGAATTGTAGGTACATTTATTTTTCACTTCAAGTCTGCTTTGTTTTAAGGATTTAATTTTTTTTTAAAAAAATGTTCATTTTAAATCACAAATATCACACTCAAAACATCTTTCTGCTGTGTTTATGTAGACACCTCCCAAACTGGAAACCTGTGTGGAATGGAGAAAAGTGATTGAGGATGGTTTTTGATGCTGTAGAATCAATAAAGTCTGGTGCAGATTGGCAGAGGGGGTCTATACCAACCCCTGTGTAAAACTGCTGAATGTCGGTCACAATTGACATTGTGTTGGGCGTCTCTGTATGAGTGTGCGGCAGAGTGGATTTCTTTAGAAGTTGTATATCTGCTGCTGGGTCTGTTGGGATTGTGGTGTCTGAATCTGAACTTGCTGCTGCTGTTGTTGTTGCTGTTGCTGTTGCTGTGCCGGTGCTGGGGCTGGCTGTGCCTGGAGGATGTGGTGAGAGCTGTCCCCAGCTTGTGGCACAGCCCTCCAGGTCATGGCATGCTGCTGTTCACCCAGCGAGCTCTCTACTGGGGCAATGGAGTTGACGAAGGTGGTCAGGTTCATGGACTGGGCGAGGGAGTGAGCCTGCTGGGCAGCTGCCGGCTGTGCCTCGATCTGGATCTCCATTGGCCGGCTGTGCACCACAGTGGAGCCGCTGATAGAGTCAAAGCTGACCGTCAGGATAGAGTCAAGCTGCATTTGACGATCCTGCAGCGTAAGGTTGGTCACCGTGATGGGCTGGAGGTTGGTGAAATGGGTGCCAGCCACTGTGCTGATGTTGGGGGAGACCGCGATGTTAGTCAGCCCAGCGGAGCTGGTTGCCGTGGTAGCATTTGAATCTCCAAGAGTCACGACCACCTAGATCAAAGGAAATAAATTACCTTTTAAAAAAGTCATGAATACAAGTTAAACACCAGAAAGAAAGAATATATACATTTGTTTGCAACAAGAACATCTGAAACTGATTACACACTTCAAGTATGTTTGCTGCCCTACAGTAAAAAATGTAAAAGATGTACACACAACAAAAATCACAACAGAATGGGAGTTCTGCTCGGTGTCCTGATGATACTTTAAAAAAAATTCATTCACAGGGTGTGGACATCAAGTTGGTGGTAAGCTGCTTTCTTGAGCCACTGCAGTCCTTGGAGTGTAGCACCCCCTACAGTGCTGTTAGGAAAGGAGTTCCAGTGACACTAGTTCCTGTAAATGAATGGAAATATATTTCTAACTCAGGATGGTGTGTGGCTTGGCAGGGAATCAAAAAATGATGGTACGTATGTGCACATGCTGCCCTCGCTTAACATCCAACCAATATGACTGGAAATGATTACCTAGACATAATTTTATTGCTAATTGTGGGTCTTTGCTATGAGAAAATTAGCTGCAGCATTTTCTACATTACAGTACTCTCTACAAAAACTGGCTGTAAAGTGTCTTAATACATCCTGAGTCATGAAAGGAGGTGCGCAAATACAAGTGTTTTTTTTTAATTTTACTATCAGTGGAGCATTAAAGAGAGACTTGTATTTATATAAGCATATTCCACCACCACTGCAAATCTCAAAAACACTTTTGTATTCGCTGTTGTAATATAAGAAACATAGCAGCCAAATTGTGTGCAACAAGCTTCTGCAAACAAAAACGTGACAATGACTAGATAATCTGTTTTCATAATGTTGTTTGAAGAATAAATATTGGCTAGGAAAGTGAGGATAACCACCCGTTCTGCTTCAATTTAGTGTTGGGATCTTGCACATACATCTGATAGGATTGCCTGGGCCTCACCTTTTAATATCTCCAACAGTACAGAATTTCCTTGCACTGTCATCAGGCTAATGCTTTTTGCTTAAGTTCTGAAGTTGGGATTTGGACCATGAATCTTGTGAATCAAGAAGTGATACTACTACCAACTGAGTGATGACTGATACAGAGTCAGTGCCTCCGTAGTGCTGTTTAAAAAGGAATTACTGGAACAGCAACCCTTATTTGAAAGTGGGAGTTCTCTCTTAGTGACCCAGTTTAAATAGTGAGTGACTTCATCATGGCAGACACTGATTATCACATACAAATTCTAATCTGGATTCTACCATGATTCCTCACTGACCTGACTCATATTCTGTACCGCAGAATCTGTCTCATCATCGACAGTTCCTGTGAAACCAGTTTCTTTATCTGTGTAAGTGTACATCGTTGCCTCTTCAGCAGCTGTTGCTGATTCATCGTCTTCCTCTTCATCCTCATCTTCATCTTCATCCTCCTCCTCCTCTTCTTCTGTCTTCCATTTCTTCCTTTGCCCTCGTTTCGATCTCTTCACTTCACCCATTTCTGTTAGCTCACTCTCATGTAAGCTAATGTCTTGCTGCAAGAAGAAAAGGGTAAAATAAGTTAATGATAACCGTTTTCAAGTACTGAGTGTCAATCTCAAACACAGAGAGACACACACACAAAGTGGTGATGTGTTACAGTTCACTCAGGAAATGCAAGTTGTTGTACCAACGTACACATTTACATGCATGTTATAATTTGGAAATCAGGACAGTGGGTGGTAGAAACCCCAACACTTTATCTATCACACAGCTGACCAGAAATCTCTCCCACTCTTTCCACCTGCTATGGCCTTGCAAGTTGATATCTGACCTGTTTGGCCACGTAGGAATGCACCTTCCTTGTCCATCAAGTCCTGGTGTGGAATTTGAAAATGGAGCTTCTGGCTCAGAGCCCCGCTGTGCCACAAGACCTTCATACGCATGCACACACACAGACACAACCATAACAAGCAGGAATCAATGACTTCAGCATTCACAGACCATTCCAGGCCTCTTGATCCATTCTGCCTGTCCTGGCTCTTGGAAAATGCTATCCAATTAATTACATTGCCTCACTCTTTCGCGATATACCTTCAAACTTTTCAAATATTTGTTCGATTGCCTATTGAGAGTTCAACTGGGAAATCCATTTGTAACAGTAGCAGTTGCTTGGCAAAACAGTGGTGAAATAATCATATTTCCACTTGTGATCTTGAGTTCAAATCCAGTCCTGACAATGGGCTGATGGAAATCTTCTTCTGCTGGTTCACTTCCTAAGAACATAAGTCTTTTCAAAAGGGTACCAAGCCGCAATCACCCGCAAATAAACCCATAAAAACGGCAGGTGCAGGGAAAAAAAATGAACTGGATCAGGCGCATTGTTGAGAGGACAGGGCTGAAGAACATCAGCGATGCTGAGGGAGGTACAGTCTGTACTAACTGTGCTCAACCTGACCTGAGACCTGTATGGCTACCAGCACGAGAGCATTTACTGCATACACTGCACAACAGGAATTGGAAAAATGTTCCATTCCAAGCACTCATCTCAGGAAGTTTTATATCTTAAGAGATTTAAACTGTGGAGGGCCTGGAGAAGCTTGCACCAGGGAAAATTAAGATGAGATTAGGTGGTGATGTTAAAAATTATAAAGGGTTTTGATTGAACAAATAAGTAAGCAGCAAAAGAGTTGGTAATCAAAGGACACATATTACAGGTGACTGTCAAAAGAATCAGACATGACACAAGGAAATTTTTAAAATCTTTTTTCAGTGGATTGAGATGATCTGGATTGCATTCCCAGAAGGGTAACGGAAATAGATTCAATGGTAATGTTCAAAACAATCAGATTAATGCTTGCGGGGAAAAATGCACAGGGCTACTGGGAAAGAGCAGGGAATGTTGGACTAATTGAATAACTGGGACATAATGATGGACTGACTGGCCTCCTTCATCTTGATTTTAGTATGGAAACATGTAGCCGTGGTGATGTTTTGTGGCATTTGGCAACCAAATTGTTGGACTGTAATGTAATTAGCCAATTTGATGATTATCAAGCTGGGTTCATAACATGACCATATTTCTGCATTTATTGACTTACTAACATTTAAGTTTGGATTTTCCTAGTCCTTTGGTAGTTCCAGTAGAGATGGGCTCCCAATTGAGATGATTATAGCCATAATTAGGGGAAATTTAAACGGCTCACCAGTATTTTGCTGCTGGCAGAGCAGTCACACTTACAACCATCCCCAAGTCTGAGCAGTGCCTCATCATTTTCAGTGGGGCTACCAAAGCTCCTGAGCTGCTGGCCCTCCGATACAGATCCCACAACAGTGGGAGCCCTTCATCAGCTCCAAGTACAGGGACAGCTAGTTTGCAGGCTGCTTCCAGAGGATTGAAGTGCAGCTTCCAACAAGTGCAGGCTCTGGACCCTCAGTAGCTCTTGTCGAACAGTCCCAGAGATCCCAGAGCACCTGGTAAAATCTAGCCCTTTCTTTCTGTTTCTGCACAAATACAACAGGCCATTGTCGGCAAATCAATGGAGCTGGCATTGTGTGTCAGAAGTTAGGACATCAGGTGCCTTGCATTCTGTCAATGTTAGCCTCAGAACTCCAGAAAATCATAGAACAGTTTCAGCACAAAAGGAAGCCAGTTGGCCCATCATATCCAAACTGGCTGTCAAAGAGACTAACTCAGCCAGACCCTCTCAAGCATGCTTTCCCTGTAGCTGGCACTTTGTTCTTCTCAGGTTCTTATCCAATTCCCTTTAAATACCATGACTGACCCTGTGTCCACAGTGCTCTTAGGCAGCACATTACAGATCTGAAACACTCTGTGCTTTTCCTCATGTTAACCCTATTGCATTGGTTCCGTGGCCATTCGCTGCCCTTTGGTTTCTAAGCCTTTCAGACATTGTGTAAAAAAAGCTCCCACTTATACCTCCTTAATTTTGCCAATCGCTTTAAACTGGTCCTCCAGTTTTCTACCCAGTTTCAAATCTACTGTCAAGATTCCTCATGATTTTATAAAATGTCTGTGAAATCTCCTCTCAACTTTCTTATCTCCAAAAAGAATAACCACAGCTTCTCCAATTTATCTGTATAACTCAAATCCCTTGGAATCACAGAGTACAGAAGAAGTCCTTCAGCACATCAAGTCTGAACTGACAAAAACAATTCTCAATATACCCAAATTCCCACTTTCCAGAATTAGGCCCATTGCCTTGAACATTATGACATTTGGAGTGTTAATCATTTTTAAGGTTGTGATGTTTTCTGCCTCTGCTACTCTCTCAGGCAATGCATTTCAGATTCCCATTATCTTCTGCATGACAAAAAAACCTCTCTTTACACCTCTTGCCTTTCACCTTTAAATTATGCCCTTGTTATTCACCTTTCAACTAAGGGGAGTAGCTGCTTTCTATTCACCCTGACCATGCCCGCCATAATGTTATACACTTTGATTAGGTCCCCGCTCAACTCTAAAGAAAATAACACAAGCTTATCCGGCCTCTTCTCTGGAGCTATACTGCTCCATCCCAGCCAACGTCCTGATAAATCTCCTCTGCACCCTCTCCAGTGCAATCACATCCTTCCTATAGTGTGGTGACAGAACTGCACGCAGCACTCCAGCTAACTAATGTTTTGTACAGCTCCAACATGACTTCCACATTTCTGGAAATATTATCCTAAATATTCTCGATCACCTTTCTCAAGCATTCACATTCTTGCTACGGTACAGTGCCCAAAACTGAACACAGCACTTCAGCTGAAGAAAAACCAGTGTTCTATAAATACTGATCATGACTTCCTTGCTTTTGTATTCTACTTACAATAACATCTACATCTCTACCACTATGCTGTAGCTCATTGTCTATCCATTCAGCCCTGTAACATCTATACTCCAGAACACTCATTACATTTGTGCTGTCACGGTCAGAGTTCTGCACTGAGCTAATGTCTAACAAAATGTTCTTCTGGGGTTGGTAAGACAGAGACTAACAAGCTGATATCTGCCTTAGCATTGTAACCCCCCACCAGCCCCAAGTAATGGGCTGTTCTAATCACCAGAGCTTCTAGAAGTTAGTCAATTTCAAACACTCTCACCTCAGGGTGTTTGCGCCTCATGTGCCTGTTCATCGAAGCTCGTGTAGAAACCTTTGTGCCGCACAGGTGACAGTTCTGGGCCTCCACCTTTTTGTGAGTCAACTGTATATGTTTGAAGAGCATGTATTCAGTGACAAACTTCTTCTCACAGATACTGCAGGTCCACTGCTTTCCAACTGAGTTGGGAAAAGTGGATGGAGAAGGAAGGAAAGACAAAAGAAAGGGTTTAAAAGTGGGGTGGCTGCTGATTGAAATCGATGTTAGTAAAAGTATTAATTAATGTGAACATACAAATTAGGAGCAGGATGAGACCATTCGGCCCCTGAAGCCTGCTCCATCATTTAATCAGATCACATTTGATCAGCTTGTCTTTTGAATTCCACATTCCTATCTACCCCAGTAACTTTTGATTCTATTGCCTAACAAGAATTTATCCACATCCACCTTAAAGATATTTCAGAGAATGCACTTCCATTGCCATCTGAGACAAAGTTCCAAAGTTGCACAACCCTCAGATAAAAAAAATTCTCCGCTTCTTGGTGACAAAAGGGCAATTTTTAATTTTTAAACTGTATCCCCTAGTTCTGGACTCAATCATGTCCACCTTGTCAAAACCTTCCAGGATCTTAAATACTCAAGTAAATCAGCTCAGCTCTTCGAAATCCCAGTGAGAACAAGCCTGGTCTGTCCAACCTTTCTCATAAGGCAACTTGCTCATTCCAGATATCAGTCTCGTAAATAAGAGTGTGCTGGAGAAACTCTGCAGGTTTGGCAGTTTCTGTGGAGAGAGAAACTGAGTTAAAGTCTATTATGACTCTTCTTCAGAACTGAAGTTAATCTGAAGTTGTATCTTGATCCAGAAATGCTGCCAAATCTAGAGTTTCCCCATTATTTTCTCTTTTTGTTTTAGATTTCCAGCATCTACAGTATTTCACTTTTATATCAATCTAGTAAATCTCTTCCAAACTGTGTACAACACATTTACATTAATCCTTACATCAGGAGATTAAAACTGTACATTGTATTTGAGATGTGGGTCTCACCAATGTCCTTTTTAAGTGTAGAAAAACACTTGCATATTCAATTTTGCCCACATTAGGATAGCATTCTTTATTAATTGCTGCACCTGCACATAATGTTTTTTGTGGCTTATGCATGAGGACATGCAAATTCCTCTGCATCTCTCAAGTCTGCAGTCATTCTTGTTTAAATAACTCTGCTGCTTCTTTCTTCCCCAACGTGAACAATTTCAAATTTTCCCACACTATATTCCATTTGCTATATTTTTGCCCTTTCATTCAATCTATCTATATTCATCCACAACCTACTTATGTCATTCTCACAACATATTTTCCTACCTCTGGTGTCATCTGAAAATTTAGCTACAATGCTTTTGCTCCCCTCATCCATGTCATTAACATGCATTGTCAAAATCTGAGGTCCCAGCATGGACTCCTATAGAATTCCACTTGTCACATCCTGCCAATCATATAAAAGATGCCTTTACACATAATCCCCATTTTCTGTTAGTCAGCCAGTGTTCTATCTATGCTAATATGTCACCCCTACACCATAAGATGCTGCTTTGTGCGACATCTTTTATGTGTCGTTTTGTCAAATACCTTCTGGAAATCCAAGTACGTTATATCTACAGTCTCTCCTATATTCACAGCACACATTACTCTTCCAAAGAATTTCAATAAATTGATTGAACATAGTTTCCCATTCACAATACTTCCTGATAACCTTGACATTTTCTAAGTGTCCAGCTATAAACTCCTTAAAGATAGATTCTAACAGTTACCTCATGACAGAGCCTATGATCTCCTGTTTTATGCCTCTCTTCCTTCCTGAATAAAAGAGTCTTTTATTTTTAACTTTCCAGACTGACGGAACCTTTACAAAATCTCGTGAATGTTGGAAAATTAACTCCAAAGCATCTATTATTGCATTGGCTACCTCTTTTAAGACTCTAAAACAAAGTCCATCAGGACCAGATACTTGTCAACCCACCAGTTTACATAAGAACATAAGAACTAGGAGCAGGAGTAGGCCATTTGGCCCCTCGAGCCTGCCCCGCCATTTAATAAGATCATGGCTGATCTTTTTGAGACTCAACTCCACTTACCCGCCCACTCACCATAACCCTTAATTCCTTTACTGTTCAAAAATTTATCCAGCCCTGCCTTAAACACATTCAGCGAGGTAGCTTCAACTGCTTCACTGGGCAGGGAATTCCACAGATTCACCACCCTTTGGGTGAAGAAGTTCCTCCTGACCTCAGTCCTACATCTGCTTTCCTTTATTTTGAGGTGATGCCCTCTAGTCCTAGTTTCACCTGCTAGCGGAAACAACCTCCCTGCCTCCACCCTATCTATTCCCTTCATAATCTTATACGTTTCAATAAGATCTCCCCTCATTCTTCTGAATTCCAATGAGTATAATCCCAGTCTACTCAGTCTCTCCTCATAATTCAACCCTCTCAACTCTGGAATCAACCGAGTGAATCTCCTCTGCACCCTCTCCAGTGCTAGTATCTCTCTTCTCAAGTAAGGAGACCAAAACTGCACACAGTACTCCAGGTGTGGCCTCACCAGGACCCTATACAGCTGCAGCAGAGCCTCCCTGTTTTTAAACTCCATCCCTCTAGCAATGACAGACAAAATTCCATTTGCCTTTTTAATTACCTGCTGCACCTGCAATCCTACTTTTAGCGATTCATGCACAAGGACACTCAAGTCCCTCTGCACAGCAGCGTGCTGCAATTTTTTACCATTTAAAACATAGTCCATTTTCCTGTTATTCCTACCAAAATGGATGACCTCACACTTATCAACATTGTACTCCATTTGCTAGACCTTTGCCCACTCACTTAGACTATCTATATCCCTCTGCAGACTTTCAGTGTCTTCTGCACACTTTGCTCTACCACTCACCTCAGGTGTCATCTGCAAATTTTGACACACCACACTTAGTCACCAACTCCAAATCATCTATGTAAACTGTAAACAATTGCGGTCCCAACACTGATCCCTGAGGCACACCACTAGCCACTGACCGCCAACCAGAAAAACACCCATTTACCCCTACTCTTTGCTTTCTACTGGTCAACCAATCCTCTATCCATTGCCAATACATTACCTGTAATACCGTGCAACTTTATCTTATGGAGCAGCCTTTGGTGTGGCACCTTGTCAAATGCCTTCTGGAAACCCAGATACACCACATCCACAGGTTCCCCATTGTCCACCATGCAAGTAATGTCCTCAAAGAATTCCACCAAATTAGTTAAACATGACCTACCCTTCATGAACCCATGCTGGGTGTTTCCAATGGGACAATTTATATCCAGATGTCTTGCTATTTCTTCCTTAATGATAGATTCGAGCGTTTTCCCCACTACCAAAGTTAAGCTAACTGGCCTATAGTTACCTGCTTTTTGTCTACTTCCTTTTTTAAACAGTGGCATCACATTGGCTGTTTTCCAATCTGCGGGAACCACCCCAGAGTCCAGTGAATTTTGCTAAATAATTACTAGTGCATTTGCTATTTCCCCCATCACTTTTTTTAGTACCCTGGGATGCATTTCATCAGGGCCAGGAGACTTGTCTGCCTTTAGCACCATTAGCTTGCCCAGCACTGCGTCCTTAGTGATAATGATAGTTTCTAGGTCCTCACCTGCTATAACCTACTTGCCATTAGTTTTTGGCATGTTATTTGTGTCTTCCACTGTGAAGACCAACACGAAATAACTGTTTAATGTCTCGGCTATTTCCTCATTCTCAGTTATTAAATTGGCCATCTCATCCTCTAAAGGACCAATGTTTACCTTCGCCACTCTTTTACGATTTACATATTTATAGAAACTTTTGCTGCCTGTTTTTATATTCTGAGCTAGTTTACTCTCATAATCTATCTTACTTTTCTTTATAACTTTTTTTGTGGCTTTCTGTTGGCCTTTAAAGATTTCCCAATCTACTAGTTTCCCACTACTCTTTGCTTTTTTGTATGTGTTTTTTTTTCAATCTGATTTCCTTTATTTCCTTAGACATCCATGGCTGGCTCTCTCGTTTCCTACAGTTCTTCCTTATCACTGGAATATACTTCTGCTGAGCACTGTGAAAAACCGTTTTGAAAATTCTCCACTGTTCCTCAATTGACCAACCATAAAGTTTTTGCCCCCATTCTACCCTAGCTAACTCCTCCCTCATTCCTTCATAGTCTCCTTTGTTTAAGCACAGGACATAGGTACTGAATTTAACCTTCTGACGCTCCATCTGTATTTTAAATTCGACCATACTGTGAACGCTCCTTCCCAGAGGCTCTCTAACTGTGAGATCATTAATTATTCCTGTCTCATTACACAGAACTATATCTGGGATAGCTTGCTCCCTCGTAGGTTCCATTACATATTGTTCAAGGAAATTATTGCAGATGCATTCTATGAAGCCTTCCTCAAGGCTGCCATGACCGACCTGGTTTGACCAATCGATATGTAGATTAAAATCCCCCATGATAATTGCTGTACCATTTTTACATGCATTAGCTATTTCTTTGTTTATTGCCCGCCCCACCATGATGTCATTATTTGGTGGCCTATAGACCACACCTATCAGTGACTTCTTCTCCCTGCTATTCCTAATTTCCGCCCAAATGGATTCAACATTTTGTTCAGTAGAACCTATATCATCTCTCACTACTGCCCTGATATCATCCTTAAAAATCAGAGCAACACCACTTCCCTTACCTTCCTGTCTGTCCTTCCGAACAGTTTGGTACCCCTGGATATTTAACTCCCAGTCATGACCATCCTGTAACCATGTCTCTGTAATGGCCACTAAATCATACCCATTTGCCATGATTTGCACCGTCACCTCATCCACCTTGTTTCAAATGCTCTGAGTATTCACATAAAGTGCCCTTATGCCAGTTTTTGCACCTTCTTTTTGGGTCCTATTACCTCCATTACTAACAGCTCTGGAGTTCTCCTTCCTTTAACTTTTTTCCTAATTTTCAATGGAGTTGAAGCTTCCTCGTCACCTGCTAACCTGCTGCTTTGCCTTACATTAATTGTTATTCTCCCTCTACGCTCACTTCTCCCTTCCCCCCTACTTACTAGTTTAAAGTCCTATTAACCACCCTATTTACCCTTTTCGCCAGAACACTGGACCCGGCCCTGTTCAGATGGAGTCCATCCCAGCGGTATAGATCCCTCCTGCCCCAGAACTGATGCCAATGCCCCATGAAAAGGAAACCCTCTTTCCCACACCACTCTTTTCGCCACGTGTTTACTTCCCTGATCCTCGCCTCCCTATGCCAATTTGCACATGGCTCGTGCAGCAATCCAGAGATTATGACCCTTGAAGACCTGTTTTTTAATTTTGTTCCTAGCTTTTCATAATCCCGAAACAGGTCTTTTTTCCTAGTCTTGCCTATGTTGTTGGTACCTACGTGGACCACAACAACTGGATCCTCCCCCTCAGTCTCTCGTATCCTCTCAAGCCAGTCAGTCAGAGATGTCTCGCATCCTGGCACCGGGCAGGCAACTCACCATGCGGGATTCTCTATCCTGCTCGCAAAGGATACTGTCTATCCCCCTGATGATGGAATCCCCTACAACTACAATCTGTCTTTTTGCTCCCACCTCTTGAATGGCCTCCTGGACCATGGTGCCATGGTCAATTGACTCATCCTTCCTGCAGCCCTGTTCCTCATCCACGCAGGGAGCAAGTGCCTCATACCTGTGGGACAATGTCAAGGGCTGCGGCTCCTGTGTTCCTGTCTGCAGGGTCCCTCTACCTGCCTCACTCGCAGTCACACACTGCTGCCGATCGAATTAACATTAGTTAATCTATCAGGTGTGACTGCCTCCTGGAACACAGCATCCAGGTATTTCTCCCCCTCCCGGATGTGCCGCAGTGTTTGGAGTTAAGATTCCAGCTCATCAATTCTGAGCCAGAGCTCCTCAAGGAACCCATACTTGCTGCAGATGTGGTCACTGCCGTTCTCAATGGGATCAGCTAGCTCCCACATCATACAGCTACAACACATCACCTGGCCTGCCATCTCTACTTAGTTAATTATTTAAAATTAATTAGTTTTTTTTAGGTTCGCAGTGTTCTCTGCACCAGTAAGTTTACTCCGTTATATACTCAAACAGACTCCGGCTTTGCCTTCCGACCCACTCCCAGAGGATTTGGCGTCTCGGTGACCACCCCGAAAGATAACAAAGATATGAGGAAAGAAAAATGCAAATAGCTTACCTGCTCACCACACTTTGTCGTTATTATTAGGTTAGAGGAGGTGGAAGGGTGGGAGACACTACACGTAGTGTCTCGGGTATTAGTTAACTCCCAAATTTATTGCATGGAAGCTTACCTTCCCAGATGCCCTCACGCTTTCTCCCGGACTCCCACCGCTGAAACAACTGAAAGGCCCCAATCACACGAGGTAAGACTTTTATAATCGAAAAGTTTACCTTCCCAGGCTGCCCTCGCGGTTTGCTCAGGACTACTCTCTGGTGATTATAATTTTAACAAGTGCCTCAATCTCTTTTTCCTCCTGACATACAGCTATTACTGGAATGTTTTTGTACCCTCTATAGGTTTTTATTTCATCTGTCATTTTCTTAATTGCCATTAACTATCCATTCTCACTTTCTAGAGGACTAGCACTTATTTATTTATTTAAAGGGGTTTTAGGGTATTTCAAAAGGAAAGGGGTAAATAGAAACCCTTACTATCTGCTTCTCCGTTTCTCGCTAGCTGCTTCTTATACTTTTAATTTCTTATCCCAATTAATCGTTTAGCCATTCTCTGCCATTCTTTATATGGTGTCCAATCATCAATCTGCCACTTATTTTAATGCATTATATAATTTTCTCGTAAGTTTGATGCTTTCTTTAACTTCTTTTAAATGCTGGGTTCTCCTCTTATAATTTTTCTTTATAGTAGAAATATTTTGAGTATTCTAAAATATCCCCCAAAATATTTACCACTACTTCTCCACTGTTCTGTCCCATAGCTTAGTATCCCAGTGCATTTCAGCTATCTCAGCTTTCATGCCACATTGTTGCATTTATTTAAATCTAAAGTACTAAAGTCTTAGACCCACTTCTCCCTTTCAAAGTGGATGTAAATATTCAATCATATTGTGCTCACTGCTACCTAGGATGCTTTTACTCTGAGATCATTAATCAGTCATGTCACATATACATTACCAAATCTGGTATAACCTCTCTGGTTGATTCCAAAACGTGCTGCTCGAAGAAAATCTTTCAAGAGTTTTCTATTTACTTCTCATCCAGGCTACTATTGCCATTCTGATTTTTCCAGTTTATAACATAGATTAAAATCACCCATAATTATTGCTGTACCTTTATCACAATCACCCAATAGTTCTCATTACTTTGGCATCATGATTTTATTGTGGTTAGAGGTTCTGTAGACCACTCCAGCTAGAGGCTTCTTTTTCTCCTGCTATTCCTTATCTTCACCCTTCTACATCCTGATCTCCTTAACCAAGGTCATCTCTAACTATTGTACCAAAAGTTGTCCTACATTATCAAAGCTATTCCTCCACCTTGACCTAGTTTGTTATTCTTCTTGAATGTCACATAGCCCTCAATATTTATCATGCAGTCACATCTCTGTCATTGAAATGAATAAACATAATTTAATGGCAATGTGTTATGAATTTGTTTTTTTTTTAATGACTGCTATGCACATTCCAATATGGAGCCTTTAGTTTTGTCTGTTATCCTCGTAACATAATGAAAATCTGCTCAATGGGAATATTTAAAGTAAGGTTAGAAAGCAATATTGTATTGAATCCTTCACTAATAATTTCTCAGACTCATTCCTGCAAATTCACCATACATTACACAGATAAACAATTCAGACCCCTGCTTGCAGCCCAATTCCTTATTCTGTATGGATACAATTGTACCCACAAGTTAGCTTGCCAGCCTATAACTCATCCTTCATGAGCATTTATTCAACACTGCAGGAAAGGAGGAAGTGAAATCAGCCACTCATGTCTGTGCTGGCTCTTTGAAAGAGCTAATCTTAATTAGCTCTACCCCTCACTGTTCTTTCAGCACATCCATGCATAGCTTTCCGTCATCACTGTAAATAAGAATCAACCTATTTGCTCTTCAAGATTCCCTTATCAAAAAAGTCGACTTAGGGGTTTTGTGTTGCATTGATAGTGTCTCTACCTCTGAGCCAGGAGGCCCAGGTTCAAGTCCTACCCATTCCAGGTGTGTAATAACATTTCTTAAGACGTTAATTGGAAAATATTTAAAATAAAAAGTTGAATTCTCAAGTGACTGATCCAAAACTGGTGATACACTTGACCCCAGTTTGAATAATATTTGATTAGCTTGGCAAACACACCAGTATGAAGAAGTTTATGGTTTTCCATACTGTTCCTCTCACTGAAGGTTTTCCCACACAGCTCACACATGAAGTCCTTCACACCTGCAGAATAAAAAAGATTGTACATGTTAAAAAATACATTATGCAGTGTCTGTCAGCACACATTACACTGGGTTATACCCCACTATGTAGCATACATAGAAACTGACAACCCTTTGAGATACGTCCTGGTTTCTTAGGCCAGCTCTCTCAGTGAATTTTAAAAACCAACCCTTTATTTTTAAGTCCTTCCATCATCTTGCCCCTATGTATCTCTGGAGTCTCCTTCAGCCCTACAACTCTCCAAGCTCAGTGTGCACCTCTAATTCTGGCCTCCAATGCAACCACAATTTTTAATTATTCTGCCTTTGGCAATCGTGCCCTTAGACATTGATGCCCAAATTCACTCTCCAAACTTCTGTGCCTACCTATCTATCTCCTCTTCAATGAGCTGCTTAAAACCTACCTCTTTTGGTCACTTGTCCCACTGACACATGTAGCTCAGTTTCAAGTTTTATTTGACAATGCTCCCATGAAGCACATTGGGACACTATTATGGTAAACGTGCTATATAAATACAAGTTGTTCCTGAGAGCCGTACAGAGGTGGAAGGGGAGTGTGGTGATCCTCTACTTCACCTAATCTCTGGTATAGATATCTTTCAGACACAGATAACAAGTAGCAAACCTCCACATCATAAAATACCTCAATTCTCTCCTGGGAGTAGTTCTCCCTACGGACAGGGTGAAGAAACAGCAGAGTGGGCACAATTATTGTTTCCTCTTCAAAAGTAATCACTTTACCTCAGGATGATAAACACAGTTAATAATTTTAAACCAGAGATTTTTGCCTGGATGAGATAGAAAAAGATCAGAAGCCAAGGACAGTAGTTGGAGTTAAGATGTAAATTAGTTATTCTGAAATAGCTGATTGGCTTGAGGAGCAGAATTGGTTACTCCTATTCTTAGTTAGAACAAAGTCCCCTAACCAAATGATGCAGAGTACTGAGGAGGACTGTATCTGTGACAAACTTAAACTCGAGTAGAACTCAAACCTCCTGAAGCAAGAGATTCTTGGCCCTCAATATAGAAACAGATGAAAGTCATACTGTCTTTGGTGTTAGCCTGGCTACTGTGTCAGTGGTTACCTGTGTGTCTCTTGTAGTGCTTAAGCATGTTGACTTTCTGCGCAAACTTCCGATGACACTCTTTGCACTCATACTCTTTGATGCCCTTGTGGAGTTTCATGTGATGTCGTAGGGCATGCTTCGTTTTCATTCCTGGACACAGAATGGCAAAGAAATGGACATCATTACAAAATTAACAAGACTTCAGCAAAGTGGAAAATTAGAACTCCCATGGTTAGTAAATGTATAAGCAGAAAAAAGGAACTGGATTATATATGTGTTGAGAAAGGGGGTGAAGGATTTTCCTTGAATTGTTATATATTTGTTTCATTCACTTAAAGACAGCAAAGCAATCTTGGATGAGTGTGGGTGGGAAGACAATGTCTGACATTGAAGCATTTATCCATTGGCTATGAAGGGAAAGCTTTTCCTTAGGTACAGTCTCATATGCATCTGGATTCTAGAAGGTCATCGGTTAGAATTTTTAATAAATCTTCAAGACACACCAAGGCCACAGTGTGATCATAAGTGGAAAAGAGCACTGGTGCTGCAAAGAGAGGGGAAGACAGTCATCACTGAGAGAGAAAGAACGCCCAAAATAGTGAGAGAATGCTTCACAGTGAGGAAGGAGATGCCTGAACCAGACAGGCAAGGTGCAGTGCAAAGGGTTGGTGGGGGGTGGGGGGAGGTGATAGAGAGACAGAACATGGGCTATGCATACATGAGTAAAGAGAGGGTGGTATTTAAGAAGAGGGGGCAGCTTTTGAGAGAAAGAAAGAGAAGGGCAGTGAGAGAGGAAGGGAGCAGTTCCTGACAGTATGGAGAGGGGAAGGTGTGACACAAGAAAGAAAGAAGGTGGGAGAGAGGAAGATGAGGACATGGGATCGCTAGAGGTGGGGACAGTGAAGTGAGAGACAAAGTGAGAGAGAGACTGAGGGGAGTAGTCAGCATTTCTCAAGTAGATGTAAAAGATTACATTGCACCATTTCAAAGAAGACTAGGAAACCAGATGCCCTTGCCAATAATTATCTCTCACTATCCCTAACAGATTTGCAATGCTTTTAGTGGGATCCTGCTGTGCATGGATTGGCTGCCTCACTTCCTACTATATAGGGCTGTTAAACCATTTTAGGTGATGCCAAATTCTTGAAAGGTGCTTTCGAAACACAGACTCTTCTTTAAGAAAGAGTGACCCCAGATTGCACCAGTGGTGACAACACTGAGCAAACAGTTTTTACTCTAGTCTCCCAATCTCATATGGGCAGCAGGCTGCCTCAGACCAAGCTCAACTCCTCCACAGTGCCGCTTGTATATGATAAGCAACAGTTCCTCTAATGTCTCACCTTTCCCACATTCTGCGCACAGATAGTCCCGAACATTGTCATGCACCCTCATGTGTTCCTTCAACATGTCCCTCCGGGCAAATGACTTCCCACACTGTTCACATGTGTGGCTCTTCACTCCTAAACAGCGACAAACACAATAGAAATATGATCCAGAATAGATAAACAACAGAAGAAAAGGTAATTTTTGATGTCTGACAACACACAGAAACAGTTTATCATCACAGACCTTTGTCTAAATAAAGTCCAAGAGATACTTTTAGGCCAGCTTTATTAAAGAAAATGGGGCTTTTCATCAACAGTTAGTTATGGATAATACTGTACCATAGTGTAAACCAAATTTGGTATTCTCCTTGTGTTCTAGCATTTTGATCAGTCGTTCTTTGCTTTGAATGTCAGGAATGCTGTTGCAGTTTACTTTTTTCACTCCAAGAGTAACTAAAAGCATCTCCAAAATGTTTTCACTCCAAGAATAACAAAGCACCTCCAAAACAACCTAAGATCATCTAACACAAAGCAAGCTTGCAGTCTTTAGGAGGATGAAATAATTGATTAAATCTCCTTTGCAATGGTGTGTTCTTTCTGCTTCCAAGAACAGAGGACTAGAGGGGATACGTTTAAGGTGAGAGGGGAAAGATATAAAAGGATCCAAAGGAGCAACTTTTTCCACACTGAGAGTGGTGCATGTATGGAATGAGCTGTGGATACATTACAAGATTTAAAAGACAATTGGACAAGTACATGAATAGGAAAGGTTTAGAGGGACATGGGCCAAATGGGACTAGATCAGTTTAGGATTCGTGGGGGTATTCATAGATAAGTTGGACTGAACGGTCTGTTTCTGTGCTGTTTGACTCTATCTGTCATTGCTACCTTTTAACTGGCCACAATTGGCAGCCAATCACAGCACTAAGTGACTGCAGAAGAAAGCCGCACCTAGCCTACATTTGGTGCTTCCCCCGACAGTCAGTCAGAATTAGAAATCTTTTGATTCATCCACCATTTGGGAATCTACAGGTTTAGACAGTTGGCTTCAAGCAGTTGTGGAAAACCATTGTCATTGTAAGTGATTTCACATCATTGTAAATTGCTCCACTTACGTAAGCAACAACAGGAGGGGTGTAAATTCACCTTAAGTGGAGAAAAAGAATCCATATTCTGAATTAATCAGAATGAATACAAGTGCTTTCCCCAATCCTTATGGTTAATGCCATACTCAAATTAAAACATAGTCTTGAAAAAGAAAGTATCAGATTGAGATTTAATTAAAAATTGAATCTTGCTTGTATTTTTGTTTTTATAAGGTGTGAGAAAGTAAGGATTTGGAGGAATTGGAAGAGTGATTTGTACAACGATATGGTTTACCTGTGTGGATTATTTTGTGACGTTCCAAGTTCCCTGTACTGTTAAAGATCCTTCCACAGATATCACAGGGATGGATGTACCTGGAACAGAAATACAACCACATGACTCAACACAGGGATGGAACAGATCAGACAGGAATAAATCCAGCACATTATGACCTTTGAGAAATTAGTTTAGAGCCTTTGCCATTGCTACAACAAAAAAAAGTCTCACTGATACACTGATAGAGGCACTGCAGAAGGTACAAAATAGATTGATGAGATGGTGCTGTTGAAGTTTAAACATCAGAAAATTTTCTGATGAAGGGTCTAGACCCGAAACGTCAGCCTTACTGCTCCTATGATGCTGCTTGGCCTGCTGTGTTCATCCAGCCCTGCACCTTGTTGTCTCTTTATCAGTCAGTGTCCACTTGCCAACCATTCAGCACTCTATTCTCATACTATATAAAATGTTGTTCCCCATTACGCTCGTATTCTTGCTAATGTCCTGATGAGTGCAAGATGAAAGGCTTTGAAAAAAATGTGTCTATTTTCAGCAATTCTCAATTCTGCACTACAAAACAACTCAGTATGTTGGTTCTCTCTCCCCTGTCGCATTTTCTTCCCTCACTTCCTGCTTGTTTTCAGGTCCTTGCTCTAGTATTTACCTCATGAGTGAGCTTAGAATCTGCCCAATTATAGAGTCCACAGTTATAGCAGGGATCACAAGCCAAATCCAGCCCTGTCCTTCAGAGTTTTGCACATTTCCATACTTCCAGCATTGGGTCTCTGGACAACTTTCACCTCGCTCAAGTGTATCAATCATTAATTAATTCAATACGGTTAGTAACTCAGTAGCTGACTTGACCCGAGAGGGACAGAGCGACAGGTCTGGTAATCACCAGAATGGGATGGTAGGTGTAATTCTTAGCATCCAAGTTCAAATAACTGTGCAAGCTAAAGCTTTATCCAATAGAGTTATCACAATTTTACACACAAGAAGAATCATTAAAGTGCTGGCACTGTGTAAGGGTCTAGCAGCTTCAATTCCAGCAGTATTCCTGTGCATACTTGGTCCCTGTAAATCTTGAGAGATGCACAGGAGTGTGTGTATTTTGTATCTGATCCTATCCAAATGGATAATGTAGCAGAGATAGTAGGAACTGCCGATGCTGGAGAATCTGAGATAACAAGGTGTAGAACTGGATGAACACAGCAGGCCAAGCAGCATCAGAGGAGCAGGAAAGCTGACGTTTTGGGTCTAGACCCTTCTTCAGAAATAATAATGGATAATGTCACACTTTGTTTTGAGGCCCTCAGGTATAGTGAGGGATGACCCCTAGTTTAGCAGTTGGCATATACAGAGTCAGTCATTAAGCATTACTGGGATTTAATGCCACTCACTTTTGCACATTGGGGTCAGAATCTGGCAATTCTTCCCTATGAATGACCATGTGGGCATGATACGTGGCCTTCAGTGCAAAGCGACGATTGCAGATTGTACATCCATAGCCCTTCTCCTTATGAATCTCCATCAAATGCTTCAAATACTGACTCCCTTTTGCGAATGTGGCCTGTAAACAGCAATAGAATGGTAAGTAAAGTAGAACTGTGGATGCTGGAGATCTTGAACAAAAACAAGAATTACTGGAGAAACTCAGGAGGGAAAGCAATGGGAAGAAAGCAGTGTTAACATTTCGACTGCAGTGACTAAAGAAGAATCACTGGACTCGAAACGTTAACTCTGCTTTCTTCCCACAGATGCTACCAGTCCTGCTGAGTTTCTCCAGCAATTTTGGTTTTTGTTATAGAGCAGTGTTAAGTGGGATCCTAATCTCATCGATACTTCAAGTCTCATACATAGTCACCTGATTAAATCTCAATCAAATAATCAGTATATCAGAAGTTGGTATTCTGTGCTACTTACATGCATGCACACTGGCTGACAAGAGCTGCACATGTGCAGTCAGCTGCACTTTTGCCTCAAAAATTGAACAAATCTCTATTTAATTATTTATGAATATAGGAATAAGGACAGGAGGCGGCTACTCAGCCCCTTGAGCCTGTTCTGCTGATCTAATTGCTTCACATTACCATCTATCCCATAACTTTTCACCCTCAGCTTGTACAGAACATATGCAGCTTCGTCTTAAAAAATATTAAAAGACCCGGCTTCCAGTGTGTTTTGACGAAGATAGCTCCAAAGACTTAAGACCTTCTGTGACAAAATATTTCTCCTCACTGGTTTCTGAAATGGGCAACTCCACAATTGTAAACAGCTCCATCACATACAACAACTGAATGGATATTGGGGGAATCTAACTTATTGCAATTTATATAGAAATACAAACAGTAAAACAAACCCTCCTGATGCAGAAGTCAGAATTTGGCTGACGGTGATAATGTCAGCAATCACTTAAAACAATAACATCCTAGTCCCTGCAACATGGCGAAACATGTCAAGACAATTCACAGGAGGGATTTTCAAACAATATTTCATAGTAAGGCACATTAAGAGATATCAGGACAGGTGACTGAATGTTTACTCAATGAAGTAGGTTTGAAGGAAGGGTTTTAAATGTCTTTCATTGAGGATTCTTAATAACAAACAAAGAGACTTGCCTGGCATTTCTTACAGCTGTATTTATGTGGAATGGGTTCGTTGACTCCATCGGACTGTTCTTCTGTTTCCTCTGCTGTGATCCCGAGTTTGCTGATAAATTGCTCTCGTTGCTGCTCATTCATCAGTGGAATGTCCTGCACACAAGAGTTAGGAGGATGCTATATGGTAAAGGACACGATCAACCTTGCTGTATGACTCCCACACCTCTGAGTCAACCCACATGCCTCAATGCAAGGCATGAAGGCACCTCAGTTACAATTGCCACAGGGCAACACTGCACTGGGCTTTTAGTATAGCCTTTGCATCATAATCACAAGGTGACAGATAGACAATCATGTACGCTAGTCAGTACTTGACAATAATTTTGTAAAAGAAGGATTTTGCTTCTACCACAAATTTTATATTTATATATTGGTGTTCACACACAACAGTGAAAGGTATCCAACAAGGACAGGAAGTCACAGAGAGAGGAAGGAGTGAGGACATAGGGATGGATCTGTAATCAAATATGAGAATTTACGGTTTCAAAATAGGAGGCTGGAGTAATAGGTTATTGTGTTTTGGCTTAATTTTCCAAAACTTTCTCGATATAGGGATGGTGCCATTCGACCAGAAGCTAGCTAACAGAACTCCTTTATTCAAAATGGGAAGGATACAGAAAACTGCAGCCAGTTAGCTTAACATCTATCATAGGAAAAAATGTTAAAAGAAGTTATAGCAGTGTACTTAGGTATGTTCAAGGTAATCAGGCAGAGTCAACATGGTTTTGTGAAAGGGAAATCATGTTTGACCAATTTATTGGAATTCTTTGAGAAGGCACCATAAATTGGATAAAAACACTGAACTTAGATTATCAAATGCCTTCTGGAAAGTACCACATCATAGGTTATTCTGGCAAATAAAAATTCATGGTGTAGGGAGCAGCATATTGGCATGGATAGAAGATTGTTAGCTAACAGGTATCAGTAAGCATAAATGTGTCTGTTAAGATTATAAAGATGGGTGCACCACAGGGATTGATGCTGGAACTTTAGCTGTTTACAATTTATATAAATGACTTAGATCAAGGGATGGAAAGTATGAATTCTAGATTTCCCAATGACACAAATATAGGGAGAAGAGTAGGTTGTGAACAGAACATAAGGAAGTTGCAAAAAGATGTAGACAGGATAAGTGAGTGTGCAAAGATGTGACAAATGGAGTATAATAATATGGGAAAATGTGAAATTGTCCAATTTTTTTTTAGAATTAGAATCCCTACAGTGTGGAAACAGGCCCTTCGGCCCAACAAGTCCACACCGAACCTCAGAGCATCCCACCCAGATCCATCCCCCTATGACCCACCTAATATACACCCTCTACCTCCCTGAACACTACAGGCAATTTAGCATGGCCAATCTGCCTAACCTGCACATCTTTGGACTGTGGGAGGAAACCGGAGCACCCGGAGGAAACCCACGCAGACACGGGGAGAATGTGCAAACTCCACACAGACAGTCGCCCGAGGCTGGAATCGAACCCAGGTCCCTGGTGCTGTGAGGCAGCAGTGCTAACCACTGTGCCACCATGTTGGCAGGAAGAATGGAAGAAAAGCATATCATCTGAATAGTGATAGATTGCAGAGCTCTGAGATGCAGGGTGACCTGGGTGTATGTATGAATCACAAAAGGTTAGTATGCAGAAACAGTAAGTAATTAGGAAATCTGAATGTTTTCATTTACTGCAAGAGGAATTGAATAGAAAAGTAGGGAAGTTATGCTTCAGTTATACAGGGCATTGGTGAGACCACATCTGGGATGTTCCACGTTGAAAGCAATTCACAATTCATCTCACTCAGTTCCCATGACAAAAACAGGATCATGATTAAAACTGATGCCTCTTCAAAGCTGCCAATACTCACTGACTAAGCTGATGCATGAAAGAGTGGCCATTTAGGCTGAGCTTACCATTCTTACATTAACTGAACTTTACAAATCAGTATCTTCAGGAGGAGGAGTACAACAGTACCAATGAATGTTATCACTGCATGAGTTTCAATTTAATTACGATTGCCAAATAAGAACCCAGACAGTGAATGGCACCAGTGGCCTGAAGATGTTACCGTGTTAAAGTCAAGTTACAAAAACAGAAGTTGCTGGAAAAGCTCACCAAGTGTGGCAACATCTGTGAAAAAACACAGAGCTAATGTTTCAGATCCAGTGACCCTTCCTCAGAGCTGGGTAGTTCTGAGGAAGGGTCACCGGATCCGAAACATTAACTCTGATTTTTCTTCACAGATGCTGCCAGACCTGCTGAGCCTTTCCAGCAATTTCTGTTTTTGTTCCTGACTTGCAGTATCCGCAGTTCTTTCAGTTCTTAGAACAAAGAACAAAGAAAATTACAACACAGGAACAGGCCCTTCGGCCCTCCAAGCCTGCGCCGATCCAGATCCTCTATCTAAACCTGTCGCCTATTTTCCAAGGATCTGTATCCCTTTGCTCCCTGCCCATTCGTGTCTCTGTCTAGATACATCTTAAATGACGTTATCGTGCCCGCCTCTACCACCTCTGCTGGCAATGCGTTCCAGGCACCCACCACCCTCTGCGTAAAGAACTTTCCACGCATATCTCCCTTAAACTTTTCCCCTCTCACCTTGAAATCGTGACCCCTAGTAATTGAGTTCCCTACTCTGGGAAAAAGCTTCTTGCTATCCACCTGTCTACACCTCTCATTATTTTGTAGACCTCAATCAGGTTCCCCCTCAACCTCCGTCTTTCTAGTGTAAATAATTCTAATCTACTCAACCTCTCTTCATAGCTAGTGCCCTCCATATCAGGCAACTTCCTGGCGAACCTCCTCTGCACCCTCTCCAAAGCAAGCACATCCTTTTGGTAATGTGGCGACCAGAACTGTATGCAGTATTCCAAATGTGGTCGAACCAAAGTCCTATACAACTGCAACATGACGTGCCAACTCTTGTACTCAATAGCCCGTCCAATGAATGAAAGCATGCCATATGCCTTCTTGACCACTCTATCGAACTGCGTAGCCACCTTCAGGGTACAATGGACCTGAACACCCAGATCTCTCTGTGCATCAATTTTCCCCAGGGCTTTTCCATTTACCGTATAGTTCGCTCTTGAATTGGATCTTCCAAAATGCATCACCTTGCATTTGCCTGGATTGAACTCCATCTGCCATTTCTCCGCCCAACTCTCCAATTTATCTATATTCTGCTGCATTCTCCGACAGTCCCCTTCACTATCTGCTACTCCACCAATCTTAGTGTCATCTGCAAACTTGCTAATCAGACCATCTATACCTTCCTCCAGATCATTTATGTATATCACAGACAACAGTGGTCCCAACACGGATCCCTGTGGAACACCACTGGTCACAGTTCTCCATTTTGAGAAACTCCCTTCCACTACAACCCTCTGTCTCCTGTTGCCCAGCCAGTTCTCTATCCATCTAGCTAGTACACCCTGGACCCCATGCGACTTCACTTTCTCCATCAGCCTACCATGGGGAACCTTATCAAACGCCTTACTGAAGTCCATGTATATGACATCTACAGCCCTTCCCTCATCTACCAACTTCGTCACTTCCTCAAAGAATTCTATCAAGTTGGTCAGACATGACCTTCCCTGCACAAAACCATGCTGCCTATCGCTAATAAGCCCATTTTCTTCCAAATGTAAATAGATCCTATCCCTCAGTATCTTCTCCAGCAGCTACCCCACCACTGACGTCAGGCTCACCGGTCTATCATTACCTGGATTATCCTTTCTACCCTTCTTAAACAGGGGGACAACATTAGCAATTCTCCAGTTCTCCGGGACCTCATCCGTGCTCAAGGATGCTGCAAAGATATCTGTTAAGGCCCCAGCTATTTCCTCTCTCGCTTCCCTCAGTAACCTAGGATAGATCCCATCCGGACCTGGGGACTTGTCCACCCTAATGCCTTTTAGAATACCCAACATTTCCCCCCTCCTTATGCTGACTTGACCTAGAGTAATCAAACATCTATCCCTAACCTCAACATCCGTCATGTCCCTCTCCTCAGTGAATACCGATGCAAAGTACTCATTAAGAATCTCACTCATTTTCTCTGACTCCTCACATAACTTCCCTTCTTTGTCCTTGAGTAGGCCAACCCTTTCTCTATTTACCCTCTTGCTCCTTATGTATGAATAAAAGGCTTTGGGATTTTCCTTAACCCTGTTTGCTAAAGATATTTCATGACCCCTTTTAGCCCTCTTAATTCCTCATTTCAGATTGGTCCTACTTTCCCGATATTCTTCCAAAGCTTCGTCTGTTTTCAGTCACCTAGACCTTATGTATGCTTCCTTTTTCCTCTTTACTAGTCTCACAATTTCACCTGTCATCCATGGTTCCCTAATCTTGCCCTTTTTATCCCTCATTTTCACAGAGACATGTCTGTCCTGCACTCTAATCAACCTCTCTTTAAAAGCCTCCCACATATCAAATGTGGATTTACCCTCAAACAGCTGTTCCCAATCCACATTCCCCAGCTCCTGCCAAATTTTGCTATAGTTGGCCTTCCCCCAATTCAGCACTCTTCCTTTAGGACCACTCTCGTCTTTGTCCATCAGTATTCTAAAACTTACAGAATTGTGATCACTATTCCCAAAGTAATCCCCCTACTAAAACTTCAACCACCTGGCCGGGCTCATTCCATAACACCAGGTCCAGTACGGCCCCTTCCGGAGTTGGACTATTTACATATTGCTCTAGAAAACCCTCCTGGATGCTCCTTACAAATTCTGCTCCATCTAAACCTCTAACACTAAGTGAATCCCAGTCAATGTTGGGAAAATTAAAATCTCCCATCACCACCACCCTGCTGCTCGTACATCTTTCCATAATCTGTCTACATATTTGTGCCTCTATCTCACGCTTGCTGTTGGGAGTCCTGTAGTACAGCCCCAATATTGTTACCGCACCCTTCCTATTTCTGAGCTCTGCCCATATTGCCTCACTTCTCAAGTCCTCCATAGTGCCCTCCTTCAGCACAGCTGTGATATCTTCTTTGACCAGTAATGCAACTTCTCCACCCCTTTTACCTCCCTCTCTATCCCGCCTGAAGCATCTATAACCTGGTATATTTAGTTGCCAATCTTGCCCTTCCCTCAACCAAGTCTCAGTAATAGCAATAACCTCTTTTTTTATTATTTTTTTATCTGGGAGTATGATGTTATTGCTTATTTAAAAGTCAAGTTACTCAGACGAAAGTTTTTAACCAAAAATGTAGAGGTCAACTTTTAGGAATGCAGGAACAGGAGTAGGCTGTTCAGCCCCTTGAGCCTGTTTCATCATTCACTGGGATCATGGTTGATCTGTGGTCTAACTCCCTAGACCACTTTTGACACATAACCCTTAATACCTTTGCTTAACAAAAACTTATCTGTCTCAAATTTAAAATTAAGAATTGATCTAGCATCCACTGCCATGTGTGAAAGAGAGTTCCAAACATTTACCACCCTTTATATGTAGAAGTGTCTCCTAACATCTGGTCTGGCCTGGCCTTAATTCTCAGACAATGACCCCTACTTCTTTAACACAAATAACATTTGAGGGGTGAAATCCCCCTTTCCCAGCATCTTGCTATCAAACAGTTGCCCGTTTGAGGATTCAAAAGTAACACGGAAGGAATGCATTGCACACCAGTGAGGAGTTAGCCTTGACTTTACATATTGATAAATGCAAACTTGAGGAGTTGAACAGCCGCCTGCAGTGGTGTGCTATTCTGTGGTTATATCAACAAGCAGATTGCACCATGGCAGGTTTGACCTCAGATGCGAGGGGGTGGGCGATGGACTTCTTTTACCTAAAATGCTGATTGACTTACATGTGAGGTATATGGAATATTAATTTTTTTTCTGCAGAAAGTTGGGAGTCAACTTAGACACAAGATCAACCAAGTGTTCATGGTCTCTGTATCGGACATTAACTGCAATTATTTGATTAACCTGTTATAGCACCTTCTTATCCCTAACCTTTAAAAATATCGTGTTTATACCTTAAAATGGACATGGGTGTGGTCCCTCAGGACATCGACACGGTAAAATTTGCGTCCACAGATTTCACAGGTGTATTTCTTGTCCCCATGTGTCAGCAAGTGCTTATTCATGTTGCTTCGACAGGAAAATACCTGCCAAAAAATTTAAAACAGGATACATGTCAACAGGCATCATATTACATAAATACTTTCTCCCATCTTTTGCAATCATTTTCTGTCCACATACTAAACAGAAAGTTCCAGCCTTGTCATCTTATCAAACTGGTTGTCACCACCCTTATAACTACAACTTTTATTTATATAAGGCCTATAATGCAACAACATCCCCTTGCACAACAAAGTAAGACACAAAGCTACACGGCAGACGACCAACAACTTGGTCAAAGCGATAGATTTTAAGGAGTGTCTTAAAGGACGAAAGCGAAATAGAGAAGTGAAAAAATGTAGGGAGGGAACTCCTGAGCTTTTGGCCTTGGCAGATGAAGGCATGGTCACCAACCGTGGAGCGATTAGGATAGGGAATGCCCAAGAGACTTAGTTAAGAACGAAGATCCTGGAGGGCTAGAGGAGATGACAGCAATAGGGAGAGGTAATATCATGAAGGGGTTTGAAACAGAGGATGAACACATTAAAAATGAGGCATTACTGAACTGAGTGCCAGTGTGGGTCTGTGACCACAGGAGTGAAGGGTAGTGCATGTTAGGACACAGGCAGTAGGAGTTTTTCATGACCTCGAGTTAATGGAAGATGGGAGAATGTAGGAAGTCAGTCATGCGTGTTAGAATAGTCAAGTCCAGAGATAGCAAAAGCACAGATAGAAGGTTTCAAAGGCAGCAGAGTTAAATAGGGGTGGTCAGGTGATGTTACAGAGGTGGAAATAGGCAATCTTAGTGACAGCATAGATTATGGTTGAAAGCTGATCTTGGGTCAAATATGACATCATGCAAACAGTTGAAAAGGACTGAATCGGCAGTGAGGTAATGCTGGTGTGACTCCTTTGCCACAGTCAGAGAGAAAAGCAAGTCTTGGGTGGAAGCACTTCTAATTCAGAATATTCCCCCCTCCCCGCCCCCTCACCTTTTACCTGCCCTTTTAGTTGACAATTCCACAAATAGAGACAAAGACCTGCTATCAATATGGACTGATTCCTCAGAATGGAGCAGTAACTGCAGGAGAGGAGCAGCAAACAGGGGAGAGGAAGAGTGAAGAATCAAAATGGAAGCTTTAAGAATTTGGCAGATAGTTAAGTGATACTGAGTGGATAGTTAAGTGGCAAGAATTACATGTCACCTAGACACAATGAAGCAAAAAAGGAAATGGTTGTCAAAAAGGAAATGATTGATTGTTAAATGGCTGACAATTTTTTAACGCACATGTTAGTCCCTCATATTCCTATACCCATTGTAAAGTGTCCATCACTGTTTGTACCTTTCCACAGACAGGGCACCCTGAAGGCTCCTTTTTATACTTCACCATTCCATTGGTCTCACTTTCGTCTTTTTTTGCACGTTTGCCACCTATTTATAAAAAAGATTGAAAATAAGTCCATTTAAAAATACAGTTGCTTTGCCACTATATAGATGCAACAAAGCAATGAAAACTGAAGTGGTCAGAACACCATCATCAGAACAGTTACTATCCTGTGCAATGAGCAGCTGAGTACAGTAGTTTAAGAAAGGATAAATTATTTTGAGCAGTCAGTAGTGGGAGAGCATTAATATAGTTTTAGTACTAAATTGCAAAGTAAGTCAGACTCCAAATGGCTCTTTTTATTGAGACTACATATTGATTATTGAATTATATTGAAAAGCTGGCTACAATGCTCATGACTCCCAACTCGTTATCTGCTCTGAGCCTCAGATACACAGGTTAATCCATAGAATCCCTGCTGTGATGAAACAGGCCCTTCAGTTCAACAAGTCCACACTGACCCTCAGAGCATCCCATCCAGACTATTCCCCCTATAACCCACTTAATCTACACATCCCTGAACACTATGGGCAATTTAGCATGGCCAATCCACCTAATCTGCACATCTTTGGACTGTGGGAGGAAACCCACGCAGACACGGGGAGAAGGTGCAAACTCCACATAGACAGTCACCCGAGGATGGAATCGAACCCGGGCCCCTGGCGCTGTGAGGCAGCAGTGCTAATCACCGAGCCACCGTGCCAGTTATAGCATGACTTTAAAAAAAAATGCACTTGTGATCATGTCAACAAACCAAAGTGTTAAAGAGATGAAGAGATTTAATAGGGTCAATACAGAAAAACTACTTTGACTTGTGGGGGAGGCCAGTTCGAGGTGACACAACAACATTAGAGCTGGTCTGTTCAGGAGTAAAATCAGGTAGCACTTTATCCAGTGTTGTGCAGCAGAAATCTAGAAATTTTGTTCTTGATGGGAAAATTGGAGCTTTCAAGAGTGAGATCAACAGATTTTTCCTGCCCACAGGATATAGAACAGTGGCAGGTTTATTTGAGTTGAAATGCAGATTAACCATGATCCAAGAGTATGGTAGAGCATTCACAAAGTGCTGAATGATGTACTCCTATCCCTATGTTCTGAATCTCATACAATCCCACATTAAATAAGGAGGATGCTAAGAATCAATCCTCTAATTGAACCCATAAAAGAAGTAATCAACAATGTGTATAACTGTTACAAAGAGGCCTACAGTGTATGGACAAACCAATACATTTGGTCAAGATCAACAAAAGGCTACAAGGTACCTTCTGTGTGACGCCTCTGGTGGTCCAACATGACATCCTTCCGGTAGAACATCTTTCCACAGGTGTCACAGGAGAACTTCTTGTCCCCGTGCTTTTTCTTGTGTTTTGAGAGGTTACTGTTGGTTGAGAAGAACCTGAAGCACATGTCACACTGGAATGTTTTGTCGTCTAAATAAAGAAAAGCACACAAAGATACAGGAGAAGACTAATTAGCTGCAAGACAGCTTGCAGCACAAGCAGGGCTTTTCACAACAACAGCATAGTCCAATCCAAAGGGAGACTGTTCGGCTCATAGTTTTTTTTTATTATTTCATGGGATGAGGGTGTTGCTGGCTAGGCAGCATTTATTGCCCATCCCTAATTGCCCAGAGGGCAGTTAAGAGTCAATCACATTGCTGTGGGTCTGGAGTCACATTTAGGCCAGACCAGGTAAGGATGACAGTTTCCTTCCCTAAAGGACATTAGTAAACCAGATGGGTTTTTCCGACAATCGGCAATGGATTCATGGTCATCATTAGATTCTTAGTTCCAGATATTTATTGAATTCAAACTCCACCATCTGCCATCCTTTTAATATTTTTAACCCTTTTGTTAACTTATGCCTTCTGTTAACTTTGATCCAATTAATCTCAATATGCCAAGACAATTGCACTGAACTGAGCCCAAGATGTAATTTTTTTAGTAGATCCTGTTAGCTGAACCCTGCTGCCGGGAGATGCAGCATCAATCCTAGATACGACAGATAAGACTACACAGAAGGACGTTGCTTAAACAGAAAAAGCAAAAAACCTACGGAAACTGAGTCATTGTAAAGATGAGGCACTCTCAGGCCTAAAGCACAATTACATCCGCAGGATTTCTCCAAGCTCTAAACTCCTCTGACTAAGTAAAGATGACCAGTAAATTCTCAGCAGCTTCTCTATCTGATCTATGCTAAGTAAGCTAATCTCAGGCTGGGCAACAACTGGACTAAAGTTGGCCTCAGCACACTGAGACAGGGAGGGGTAACGCTAGTCAAGGCTTTCATGCAATTGGTCTACACTAACAACAGTCCCTTACAGGGCTATCCACTTCCACCAACAGCAAATTTACCTCTTTTACCTGTTCGGCAGTTGTGAAACTCCAGTGCAGTCCTGATACGAAAAGCTTTTAGACAGGTGTTACACTGGAACAGGTAGCTATCGTCCACCTGGGGAATATCAGCAGACACAGTATAATAACATTAAAAGATATGACTATTACACAGTTACTGGTTGTCTGGTTTACTAACCAGCACACACCATAAGTAGCACAATAATGCTGTCTACAGTGTAACTGGCTTAATAATTTTATGTACATACTAACAATATGATATATGCTATAAACTAGAATACAATGCAATATATAGCTTTAAAAAACTACTGATGTCAAAAATGAACATTGGAAGTTAGAATATCATAGAGATTTTATGCTATAAATAGTCAAACATGTATCTGGATAAAACATATACCAATAGCCGTGATCTTAAATGGAGTGCTCCATTAGTATCATGTCTAAACACTCCTACACTTGTAACATGGCTACCACATGAATCTCACAGAACTTTACAGCAAAGAAATAGGCTATTCATCTAAATAGGAAGTTATGTTTCACATGTGCCTCCTGTAGCCCCGACGCAGCCAATTCAACAAATGTTTTCTTTTACTTTTGACTCCCACATGAGAGTGTTGACATTAAATGAAAGCTCTGCTTTAGAATCACAAAGTCATACAGCATAGAAGGGGGCCATTCAGTCCATTCTTTGTAAAGCTGTCAAATTTGGTTTTAAATTCAACTATTGATCGAGAAGATTTTCTTTCGAACTTCAGTCTGTATGAAACAAAACTTTATCTCCAGGTTGATGATAATTGGATTTTCATGGGCAGAGCGGTAACAGATGATGTCAAAGATGGACGGGATGAGATAGGCTGGTGCCTTTGACAGCCTTGTAACCAAGTGCTCAAACTCTATTGTGCCGTTCTAAAGAGATGCAAGTAGAGGCTCCTCAGACTTAATCTCTAAATTGCAAATATAATACTTTATTGTACATCACCTAATATTACTCTTGCCTCTTCTAGGATCTCATAACCATAGAACTCCACCCTGTCAATTCCAGCACATTTGGAAAACTTTTGAATTTGGAGGATGGTGTTAAATCCTAAACCGAAGAAATGAGTACAAGAGTAAAGGATGCCGCTCCAGTGCAGTACTGAACAGAGTGCTGCAATGTTCGAGGTATCATCTTTTGAACAATATTAAACTGAGGCTCTGGTTGCTCTCTGATGAATGTGAACAATCCTGTTGGCCTGGTCAATTTTTACCCCTGAATCAACGTCTCTGAAATAGATGGTTAGCTCACAATCACATCACAGTTTGTGGGATCTTGCTGTGTACAATTTGTCTCCCTTGTTTCCTACATTAGTGAAATAGTGACTGCACTTCTAAAGTACATCATGCTGTAAAGCACTCTGGACACTGGAGGTTGCGAAAGACTCAATATAAATGCAAGTCTGCCTGTCTCCCTCTACCTTCCATGCATTATATAATCCCAGGATTTTTAAGATCCACCTAAACTACTTCCTGATTGACCACATCTGCTCAAAGATGGTGATGATCTTTGTTACAGTTTTATAATTTGAAAACAAAGGTTTCCAGTGAATGATCGAACAGCACTTTACAAGATGTACTAGGAGGGGTCTGTTTGCTATTTTCTCCTTTTGTTGCAGAGCACAACATGGGGGTGGTTGTTGAGGGGGGGGGGGGGGGGGCAGCGGGAAACAACGTTACTTTCTGCCCAACTCACTGCAGTAAACACTGCTAATGTTACTGTGGGAAACTCAAAAACAGGGCATTTCACCACAGCTTCTCACCTCATTCCTGCTGTGTTTATAAGAGACATGTTGTTTCAGACTCTCCTTCCGGCTAAACTCCTTCTCACATTCATCGCACTTATAAAGTTTATCACCTGTGGGCAGATGAGAATCAAATGAACATGTTCTGACCCTGTTGTTAAAGGATCAATCCAGCATGGCTGAGCAGAGATCAGCAGGGAACCTCTACAGGTCTCCACCCATCAGTGATTTGACAGAAATAATTCAATGATTCAATTTTTGCAGATCACGTAAGGGAACCTAATGGTCACTACACAGAGAGGAACATAATAATTCAATATCTATTGGTCAGTATATCTTAGTGACGTTAGGAAGAATTCCATTAAATAAAGACCAACCTTGGAGAAATTTGTCATATTCAACAAACATAAATCTGAAAGGAACTTTGTTTCATTTTTATTCCTCATTATACCTTACCAAGACTTCAATGGAGGGAGCTTTATCTTTCCTGACCCCTTCCATATGACAAGGCAGCACAGATGGCTCTCATTGTGTCTAGGTCATGTTACAACTCATCTGGGAATTCTTAATGAAGCTGCGTGGAGCAGACTCTGTTCTGTGTCTAACCTGTGCTACATAGTCATGCTGGAAGCAACAAGTGTGCATATTGTCACTGCCATTTGCTACCCAGACGTTGCTGTTGAAAGATACTCCTAAGCATTGGATGAGATGAAGTGGTTTATCGGCACATGCAAAATCACCACGAGACCAAGGTACCAGAGAACTAGTAGGTGCCCTAACGCCGTACCCCATGATGGGGCATCACACCCTGAACCTGAGTACATTGGGTTTTTTTAAATTTTAAGAATTGGGGAAAAATTATGTATTTATGTAAAGGATTCCCACGTTAGTGATAACACAGGTGTTTACATTTACAGGAAACATACATACACAGCAGTCATTTTATTGCCTTGAACATTTGTTTGTTCTAGGTAAGAGTACTTGAAGTTACCGTGGGAACGAATGTGCCTCTTTAGGTTGCTGCTGTTGTTGAAAAACTTGTTGCAGAGATGGCACTGATAGACTCGCTGGTCACCGAGACCCCTTAAGATCTTTCTGCGTGTATCAGGCCTGTGGGATGGTACAAGACTGTACATCATCTTCAACTGCATTGCACTGCTTATAAAAGCATTCCTTCATCAAAATCACAAGGTGGAATTGGATTAAGAAATACAAGAAATGTCTCCATCCACAGGACCACACTGAAGTTACAGCACAGAAACAATTAGAATTAACCCTTGTTGGTGTTATCATAAGATTAAGGGCAGAGGGAAGCCATTTGGCCCAAACAGCCTACTATTCAATGAGATCATGGCTGATCTGACAATCCTCAACTCCACGTTTCTGCCTTTTTTCCCCATAAACCTTGATTCCTTTACTAATTAAAGTTTTGTCTACCTGAACCTTGAATACATTAATAACTCAGAGGAAAACAAATCTGTGGAATTCTTTACCACAGAGATGTGGAGTCTGAGAGAAGAAATTCCTTCTCGGTCCTAAATGTGCTACTCCTTATTCTGAAATTATGCCCTCCAGTTCTAGGCTCTACACAAAAAGAAACAACATCACCACATTTGCTGGGAAAACTCAGCAGATCCGGCAGCATCTGCAGACAGGAAGGAGAGATAACGGTTTTGGTCCAGTGACCCTTCAAAGCAGAATTAACGTTTTGGATCCAGTGACTCTTCCTCAGAACATGACCTGCTGAGTTTTCCCACCAATTTCTGTTTTGTTTCTGATTTTTAGCATCTGCAATTCTTTGGGGTTTCTTTTTCACCGTATCTACTCTGTCCCACTCTTGGTATCATTGCCTTAATAGCTGCTCTGCAATGTTGCCAACCTTTTGTTCTATAAGCTGATGAATCCCCTCCCCAGCACTCTTCCCCCAACTCTAATTGGTTTAAAGCCCTCTACAGCCCAAGGTCTTCAACTTGCCAAAATATTGTTCCCAGCACAGTTTAAAAGAAGCTCCCCCTCTAGCCCAATAATGATACATGTACAAATAAACTGAAAACTATTTCTCCAACACTAATCTTTCAGCTACACATTTAACTCTTTGACTTTATTTACTCTATATCAGTTTTCCTGGTGCTCACACAATCCAAAAATTACTACTTTGGAGGTTCTGCTTTCCAATTTAACTCCTAATTGTTCAAATTCTTTCAGCAGAACCTCCTATCTATCCTATCAAAGTGATTGGGACCAACGTGGACAACCACAGATTCCTCCCATCCCACTCAAAGGTTCCTCGGCAGCCCCAAGGAGATGTCCTTAATCCTGGTACCAGGCAGGCATTGCATGAGCCTACAGGACTAGAACCCATGCCAGCACAAAATAATATCTATTCCCCAAAATATACTGTCCTTGACCATTACCACATTTCTGTTTCTCCCCCACCCCCCCACAGGAATGACTCCCAGTACCGAGGTGCCATAGTCAGTTCACTCACCTCCCTAAGTCCCCAGTGTCACCCACACAGCTTGCAAGAACCTCGGATTAGGGTCCTCAAACATTACCCCTGGGTCCCATACCTACCTTCACCTGCAGTCACAGCCTCCTATCCCTGATCACAAACCAAATTTAAATTATCTAGTGTTGAGAGTTGTGTCCAGCTTCCTGGAGCAAAGTGCCCAGGCAACCTAACCCTCCCTGATGTGTCGCAGACCCTCTGCCTCAGATTGCATCTCCTCAATTCAGATCCAAAGTTCCTTGAGCTGCAAACCCTTATTCTAGATGGTTTTGCCCCAAATCATCTTGGTATCCAGTAGTTCTTACATGCTGCAGCAGCAACGTATACGATTAACAGGAACAGAAGTAGACCATTCAGACAACTCCTCTATTCAAGAGTATCATTATTGATTGAGCTTTTATTTGAATGTATTTTTATTCAATCATGGGATGTGGGCATCAATTATTGCCCGTCCCATGTGACCTTGAGAAGGTGGTGGTGAGCTGCCTTCTTGAACCGCTGTAGTCCATTTGGTGTAGATAGACCCGCAATGCTGTTAAGGATGGATTTCCAGCAACAGTGAAGGAACAGCAATATATTTCCAAGTCAGGTGTTTTGGTGAATTACTATTAGGCTTCTTGTAGACACTGCTCCTTCTGAGCATCAATGATGGCCGTAGTGAGCATTTGTGGATGTGGTACCAAACAAACATATAGCTTTGTCCTGGACGGTGTCAAGCTTCATGAGTGTTGTTGGAGCTGCACTCATCCAGGCAAGTGGGGAGTATTCCATCTCACTCCTGACTTGTGTCTTGTCAAGGACAGGATTTCATGAGTCAGGAGGTGAGTTACTTGCTGCAAGATTCCTAGTTTCTGACCTGCTCTTGTAGCCAATGTATTTATATGGCTAGTCCAGTTCAGGTTCCTGTCAATGGCAACCACCAGCATGTTGATGCCGAATTCAGTGATGGTAATATCATTTGGATGTCAAGGGACAATGGCTACATTCTCTTTTTTGGCTATTGCAAATGTTACTTGCCACTTGTCAGCTCAAACATGGACTGTTTCAGTATCTGAATAGTTATAAATGGTGCCAAACATTGTGCAATCATAAGTGAACATCCTACTTCTGACCTTCTGATGGAGGGAAGATCTGTGATGAAGCAGGTGAAGAAGGCTAGGGCTAGGAGACTACCCTAAAGAACTCTCAGAGGAACTATCTGAATTACCAGCTGAGCTAGAATCTACTTTTTGAGAGAGATTTATATACTTTTACTGTTCTTTGTTTGAAGACGTTTCCTAGCTTTTCATCTGAACTACTTAGTTCTGATTTCAAAGCTCAGTTCCCTTATCCATGACTTCCACCATCCTGAAGTAGTCTCTAAATTAGGAGAATTCCAATATCCTAAGATCTGTCATCGTTCCCAAATCCCCAGAAAGGCAGGGGTTAGTGGTAGGCAGCAACAGGATGAGTCGGAAAGCAATGAGGAACAGACAAATAAATAAAATCTTCACCTTCTTGGGACTTGCCTCAAATTGGGACGCACATGACGGCCATTCCGCAACATTTTTCCATGATTTAACACTTCACCCAATTTTCCTTCACATACAGGTGCTTCCAAAGGTACAACATTTGAAGGAGCTTTGACAACACTTGCAGGCTCTGCAAAAAAAATACAGGGAATAGGATTAGAAAAGGTTGGTGTTGTAGGTTTTAACGCTATAATGTTATTGTTAGAATCAAGATTTTACTCTGACAAGCCAACAGATCATAGAACAGTACAGTACAGAATAAGGCAATTTGGCCCATGATGTTTGGACTTGTTCTTCCAAAGAACAATTCAGTTAACCCTTTTACTTGTGCCTTCCTATATCCTTGTAATTCTTTTTCTTCTTCAAGTTACTTACTCAATTCTGTTTTGAAGTCCATTATTGAATCTGAAATCACCGCCCTATCTGAAGGTACGTTCCAAATCCTAACTCCATGAATGAGCTCTTCCGATGCCGTCTCTGGTGCTTTTGCGGTCATCTTAAATCTGTGCCCTGTTTGCCAACGCAGCTGCCATTGGAAGAGTTTATCTTTATTCTCTCTAAACCGTTCATCATTTGAAAATACTTTTAGCAAGTCTCCTCTTAGCATTCTCTGTTCCAAAAAGAACAATGCAGCTCGTCCAGTCTATCCATGTAACTGTATTCAATCATTTCTGGAACCATTCATTAAATCTCTTCCATGCCCTCTCCAAAGCCTTAATGTCCTTCCAAGAGTGTAGTACCCAAACATTGTTCAATACTGCAGTTGTTTGATATAGGTTTAAAAATATATAATAAATAGGGTTAAAGTCCATAGCAGTTCTATTTGGTCTACTTTTCCAAAATATCAAGCCTCTCGTCACTACTTTAACATCTCTGTGAATATTAGGTGTTTGTCTAAAGCACTCCCACGTTTGCATCAGAAGGTTCTGAGCTCAAACTCCACTCCAGAAATATGAGTTCATATATCTGAGATAATAGGTGTAGAGCTGGATGAACACAGCAGGCCAAGCAGCATCAGAGGAGCAGGAAGGCTGACGTTTCGGGCCGAGTTCATATATCTATGGCTGCACGGCCAATGCAGTACTGAGACTGGGGGAAAAGCTGCACTTCAGAAGGTGCTTTCTTTCAGATGAGAAGTTAAACTCTGGTTCCCTATGCCTTTTCAAGTGGGTTTAAAAAAACATCCCACAGGCCTAGTCAAAGTAAAGTGGGTAGTCCTCTGAGTGTCCTGAACAACAGTCATCTCCTAATTAATACCATCAAGACATTATTACATTAAGACATTGTTACAATCTAGGTGGGGGAGAGCGTGCACTGATTCCTCTCTAGTTCCACTAATCCACTGGTTCTAACAAAATGTTAAACCTAACCAATATGCCACTTATATCAGTCTCAGACTCGTTTCTAATATCAAATGAGATACAATCAGTCAATTTTCTTTAGTCAAAGAGTAACAATTTTATTAAAAACAAAACTTTAACTAACATATAGATTACTGACAAGATAAAGGTTTAAATAGTATAAAGGTAGATATAACTTGTATTCTAACATTCCAAACCTGCGGCATTATTCGGGTCTGCAGGCACTGGCTCAGGCTCTTCCCTACATAGCTTTGGCTTTCGAGGTCTCCTGGCCCTGGACTTCTGTTCTGAATTTGTGGCAACTTCAATGAAGTCTGGGCAGTCAGAATCGAGAGGACCTGCGACTTTAGCTGGAGTTGAATCTTTCACAAGGGTTGGCATTCCTTGGGCCTGCTCCAAATGACTCATCAGATGGTCTGCAGCAATTGAAATTTTTAAAAAATTATGTATATTTTTTACGAAACGAAAGTGCTCATTGCCAAAGGCATTCTGCTGGTGAATATTCCATCATCTATCACGAAGGTTAGATCAAAAGAAATGTAAGAAGGCTGTTAATCTGAAATTGGAACAGGAAATGCGGGAAAAGTATAGTAGGTCTGTTAGCAGAATTACTGATTCTAAAGCTAACGAAATAGGTGTTAACTTTCTCTCAGGGAAGGTTCATTTTGTGCCTGTCAAGTTTTCCTCATTCCATTGACATCCAAAGAAATGGAAGTTTCATTAAATGATTTGCCAACTCACCAGCAACTGTTATACATGATGTTCAGGGTCAAGATCTACCCCAATGTAATTTCCCAGTCTTTCCTGTTTCAACTGTCGGTCCCAATTGCAAATTCTAATTGTGGAATTAATACCAGTTGGACCCAAATTTGATTCAGCTATAGATTCTACAAAGGTGCAATGTGGAAAATGTTTAGTATCTATTATAAAAGATGTAACAGCAAAAAGTGTAAGAAATACATTGTTTATTCAAACAGAGTCAACATGGCTTCACACAGAGGAAATCATGCCTGACAAATTCATTAGGATTCTTTCAGGAGATAACAAGAAGGATATATAAAGGGAAACTAGTAGGTGGAATGTATTTGGATTTCCAAAAGGCTTTTGATAAAACACAGCACATAAGGATACTGTGGGAGAGTCCTGGACCAGAAGGAATAATCTCAAATAAGAGGTCACCCATTTAGGACAGAGATAAGGAGGAATTTCTTCTCTCAATGGTTATTGAATCTGTGGCATTCTTTACCACGCAGGGCTGTAGAAGCTGGGAGGTTAAATGTATTTAAGGTTGAAATAGGCAGGTTTTTAAACGTTAAAAGAAATCAAGGGTTATGGCGAAAAGGCAGGAAAATGGTGTTGAGGATTATTAGATCAGCCAAGATCTCATTGAATGTCAGAGTGGACTTGATGGGCTAAATAGCCTACATCTGCTCCTACCTGTTATGGTCATATGGTGAAATTTCCACAGAGTAACATTTGATGGTACATCTTTTGGGGCTCAGATGAGACAGGCCATTAAACTGTTCTGAGGAAGGGTCACTCAAACTGAAACTTTAACTCTGATTTTCTCCACAGTCGCTGCCAGACCTGCTGAGCTTCTCCAGCAATTTCTGTTTTGAAGTCTCATGATTTAATTGACAAATTTGAAAATATCACGTAGTAATGTGTTAATATGGTTTGGTATTACTGCAGTTCTCTGCCATTACTGCCACGTTGTTATTGAATCCTTCCTGAGCTATATCAACAACATTCATCAACTATGCCCTCCATTTGGTTCCTTCCAATTTGCAAGACTTTGCATTTACTTTTATTGAACATCATCCGCTTTAATTTTGCACCTTGCAAATTGTAGGCAGGCTCGTTATCAGAAATTCTGCTCCCAAAGTCACCATCACTGCTGCTTTTCAATCCAAGAAATGGGAGATAAAGTCAGCCACTTTACCCTTTGGGCCCATTTTATCACTCAATTACGATCACAGTTAACCTTCTACCATCACCACGTCCCTCAATCTCCTTCGAACGCAAAGATCTATAAAACCCTATTTTAAAAGTACTCAACTATAAAGCATCTACAGACCCCCGAAGTAGACAACTCCAAAGATTCACAAACCTGAGTGAAGGAATCTCTCCTCATCCCATTCGCAAGCGGCCAACCCAGTTTTCTGGGATTCTAATCCCATATTCTTGATTTCCCCAGATACAAGAAACTTTCTATCAGCATCCACCTTTTCTAGTTTACAATTTCAATATGTTTCAATCAGGCCACATCACCAATTCCTGGATTCAACTACTCAGTATAGCAGGCAAAATGTAACTGCTCTCACCTGTCAGAAGCTGAGGTTCCTGGAACACAGCCGAACAGACTTTACAAGACCACTGGTTTGGGTCCACAGCATGGACTATGCCACTCTCTTTATCTGTTATTGGAAAAAGAGCAAAATAAGAAGTGACGGAAAATATTAAACTTATAACCATAAGGGAGTGGGGACAAGATCTGCCACAGTCATCACACGTGTAATGGATCAACAACGATGTGATGTATCGCATGTAACATAGTTAGACTTTGCAAGGTGAGTACTATCAGGTAGGATACCAAAGGTAAAATCCTGCACTCATTTAAGAAATGGGGGAGAATGGAGATTCTTACCGCATGGATAAGGTGGTGTATTAATTAGCCTTCTTTATTCTGTAGCACAAGGTTTTCCCATAGATTTCTTTTAATCAACCTGTTTAGAGATGCTATTACACATCCCTGAAGTAGGTGGAACTTGAACCCAGGCCTCCTGGCTCAGATGTAGGGACATTAGCACTGCAACACAAGAGCCCTCCAGCTTTCCTGTATGCTCATTTTAGCATTACTATGATAGTGCATTCACTGCAAGTAGCATCCTAACACTGCCTTATCCCCAGAGACCGCTTGAATTGTAGGAGCCTCTCACATGTGGTGAACCTTGATAAGATTGTTGCTTACACCATCCTTTGTCTGCACTGCCTGCAGCTGTGCGATGATGCCAGCAATAAAATCAGGACTATTCCCTCTCCTCCTGCTCCAGCAAGGAAAAGTATAGACTACCATTAGGAGATGGGACTATTTCCAATACTCAAAGAATGAACAAAAGAGTCAGTTTGCAATCTACAACAATAATTCACCATTTAAGAGACGATAGCTATACGCTCACATGCAATGCTCCCGGTATGCTAAAGTACAGAAGAAATAACACAGAAAATAGGAGCAGGAGTAGACCATTCAATCCTTCCTGCCTGCTTTGCCTTTTATTATGAACGTGGCTGATCATACAACTCAGTGGCCTGTTCTTATCTTTCCCCCAGATCTTTGATCCCTTTAGCTCCAAGTACTTTATCCAACTCCTTGTTAAAATCATGCAATGTTCTGATCTCAACTGTTTTGTGTGGTAGTGAATTCAACAGGCTCACCACTCTTTGGGAGAAGAAATTTTTACTCATCTTAGTCCTAAATGGTCTACCTCATACCCTTAGAATGTGATCCCCAGACTCCCCTGCTATTGGGAATATGCTTCCTGCGTCTACCCTGTCTAGTCCTGTTAGAATTTGACAGGTTTCTAGAGATCTCCCCTCATTCTTCTGAAGACCAAGTGAGATAAGGAGATAATTTGTTCATATTAGTGATCTGAAATGAAAACCAAAAATGCTGGAGAAAATCAACGGGTCAGGCAGCATCTGTGGAGACAAGAACAAAAGTTAAGATCTCACACTTATCGGTCAAATCTGCAGGAATATCAATATGAAAGGCAACAACTTTTTCACGCTGTTTGAGAAGAGAGTGCCAATTGATTGGCAAGTGGACTCTGATTGGTTGAGGCATTGCCATGGAGAATGCATTAGTTGGATGATGCTGACAGTTAACTGCCAAAATCAAACCAGGCAGTTGGACTATGATTGGTCAAGATATTGTCCTGTTAACTATTTTGCTAAATTCAAACTGGTGGAATGTATGTACACGTTTTTTGCCTGTCTGTAAGGAACATGGCTTATTATATCAATACATGTAGTTTCCCATAAAGACAAGTATACCACATTGCGATGCTGACTGAGAATCTTAAAGTGGTTGTAAGTGTAATTCTTTGCATACACAGGATTATTTAGTAAATGTTATCCAATCACAACTATAGTTGGACACTTTTGAGTTTTGCAAATGCAGGCTGGTTGGTTATATTCAGCACACTTGCCTGTTGTAAATACTGAAGGGATATGCTGTTTGATACAATTGGTCAGTCTTTGAGGCAATTTATACCATTTTATTCATTTCTACGATTGGAAGAATGTCTTTTTGCCTTGATGGCAACATCCTATTTGTAATGAACACCAGTCGTGTAGCTTTAGCTGTTGCTTAATTTTTTAAGATAAATTACCATTTCAGGGTAACCTAAGGTAAACCAAGCATTTTTAGGACAGAAAATGGCAGTCTTAGGTTCTTTCATAAGAATCATACAGGACAGAGGCGGCCCTTCAGCCTATCAAGTTGAAACCCCAAAACAAATATTCTATCACCTAGACTAGTCCCACATTCCCATTCTAGGCCCATAGCCTAGAATATTATGGTATTGTAAAAAGTACTTGGATGAGAATTTGAAGGTTGAGGTTTCCCACCTCAACCACCCTCCCAGCTTGTGCATTCCAGACCCTCACCACCTGCTAGGTTAAAAAGGTTTTCCTCAAAGCCCCTCTGAACCTCCTGCCTTTCACTTTAAAATTATGCCCACCTGTTATTGCAGTTTGCACAATATACAGTGAGAAATGATCAGATTCATTTATTGCCATTATTGCTCAGGACGACTATGATGTACCCCATTTCAATATCAAGCTGGAAGGTGAGAAAATGGCTTGGAACCTATTTACAAGGTTTTCAGTGAGGCCAATCTTTTAGTGCACCTGACTGTAGGAATCCCAATTTGGATACTGATTAATGAGGATAGGCTACAGTAGACAGTGATACAGAAACCCTCCCTCGTGGCAGATTTCTCAGATTCAGCACTCTTCTGTACAATATAAAATGTTGTTCCCCTGAACATTGATATTCTTGCAACATGTCCTGATGAGTACCTGACAATGCCTAAGTTTTGTACTACTAAATGATTATAGGTGTTAATATTTTGAATCCAAGATAACTCTTTATTGGAACTGAAGGTAAAGAGGCCAGTATAAAACCAGCATCTTAAAAGGAGAAGAGTGGAGAAGCTCACTGAGGAAATTCCGAAGCCTGGGCACTAGGCAACTGAAGGCACATCTGACAATTACAGAGCAGTTAAAATGGACTGTGCAAAAGATCAAAATTGGTGGAAATTTTGCGTTATAGAGCCAGAGGAGTGTTTAGAGGTAGGGAGAAGAAAGATCACGGAGAAATTAGAATACAAGAACGAGGCTTTTAGAATTGAGGTGGTTGGTGGACCCAGAGCAGAACAAGTCAATGAGCATTGGAGTGAAGGGTGAACAGTTTTTTGTGTGAGATAGCACTGGCACAGAGAATGCAGCATTGGGCTAATCCCAATATCTTTGCGTGTTCAATTTGCTTGATTAACCAAAGGATGTGAGTGGCTCTGCTATGTCTATCTCTGTCCCTAACAGAGTAATCCCCTCCAGCCCGACAACCCTCCGAGACCTCAATGCATATCTAATTCTGGGCTGATTTTGATTGCTACAGCAGTGGCTGCCCTGCCTCACCTCTGCGTTCCGCAATTCCTTCCCTAAAGCTCTCTGCTTCTTCGCTATAAGTTTCTCCTGAAGTCTTGCCCACACCCAACATTTGGTCACCCGCTCTAATACTTCTTTATGTCGCTTGGTACAAGATCTAGTTTGATAACTGATCCTGTGAAAAGTCTTGGTTACAGTTTATTACACTGAAGGTACTACATAAATACAAATTATTACTGTTGCTTTTCTTCCAGTGGTGTAACTCATAAAAGGTAGAAATCTCTCACGACTTTCTAGAACTGGATGCAAGTTCTTTAAGTCTTTTATAACTTGGCAATATTATAATAGTCTTTGATACACGACACACAGAAGGAAAAAGAAAAGCAGTAAGCCATCTCTGAATTTAAATGTGACAGTCCCTAAACAGCCCAAGTGCTGAGGTGTTGATCATGGATCGTACCTTTCTGAGCACAGCATCACACCTGAGGTACTAAGTCGGAGTCAAGACATAGCAGCTGATTTGTGTTGCTAGGAGTTAATTTGCAATGGACCGCGTTATAAGAAGAGCACAGGACCTGGGTGAGATAGTGACTCTTGAGTCAGAACATTGGTTTGACAAGCAGAAAGAATCCTGAAGGACATGAGTTTGAGCAATCTCCTCCCAGGCACCCCGTTAAGTGGGATCAGTCAGAGGTGTCTGGTGTGGGAGATACCTGACACCGATTCTCTCGGGATTTCTCTTCTGAGTCACAATACTCCAACAAAATTACTGGCTCACTATCCTGTCTTTAAGTCAAGTAGACACAACTTCAAAATGGCAAAGTTAGATTTCTTTTATTTAAGTTATAGTCAGTATAGCAATGGTTGTTCCACCTAGCCTGCTTCACATTAATGATGGCTGGGACATAGCTAATAGATGTTCCTCTCGCCTCTCAATCCTATCATATTTAATCTCATTCCATTGTCCAGGCCATTTTAAGACTCAAAATATTTTGGAGAATTCAGCACTGGCCTCCTCAGGCTATTAGTACAGAACTGGTTCATCGTGTGGTGTCTGTTGTCTGTACAATTGCTAACTGTGTTCCAAACCTAAACAATTCCATCTCCTTTACTGGAGCAGCTGATCTCAGCAGTTTTATTGACTGTGGCTCTATCAGCAGAATTGCACTGCAGTGAAAATTACAATGCAGCTCACCTGGATTCAAGGAGACAGAGATTGTGGTATCACCACTTGCTTTGTCACATAAAGATGTTACAGACTGGATCTTTGGCATAGGTTTGGACTCATCGATTTCACACTGCCTCTCGTCTAGGGGAAAACAGAAAGGAGAGACACTAAGTGATGCTTTATCTACATAAGACCAATCTGTTCTAGTCACATTATAACTGCAATTATGGCATAATTAGCTCTCATCAAACAAATTTATCCACGTTCAGTATCAATTACAAATGTCAAAGTTACTGACACACCAGCATAATCTGGATTCTAAGTAATGTAACGTACGTTCCTTCTGACTTACTGGCCGCAGGGTCATAAAACCAAAGATTGAACCCCAGTTTATACAGATGATGAATTTGAACGGAGGTGCTGAAATTGGCAATAATTATCCCAACTCCACATGGTGTTAAGTACAAATGATTGGTTAGGGCTCCTGTTCTTGATTGCCAGACAGCAACTATAACAGGTAGGTATGCAGATATCTCACAAACATTGGATTGATTGCCCTTCCCATCCTACACTCCTCATCACTTCCTGTCCAGCTCACGTTAGGAGTGACAACCAAGTACCAGAGGGATACTCTCTCTCCCAGCCTTTTTTTGCAGATGTAGTTTTAGGCAAGTTATACTCATTGATTGCGAGTGCACTGGTGGTTACCGTCTAAGTGATGGCATCAGATTCTCCAAAAGCTAGGGGCAAGTGAAGAATGCATTGCTGAAATTAACTGGATTGATCCTCGTCCTCCTTCATACTGACTCTTTGTTTAGTCTCAAAGCATGTGGCAATCCTGATGTAGCATCGCAATCTACATTTCCCATTGGTAACGAGTGACGTGGCACACAGAAAGGGTTTTATTTTCATTGAATTAGAGTTGTTGGTTGGTTTGCCAAGCTGACTGGTTTTCATGCGAACATTTCATCTCCCTTCTAGGTGACACAGTCAGTGCTGTGTAGCCTCCATTGAAGCACTGTTGTTCTGTCCTGCTTTGAAATTATATGGTCTGGTCTGTCATGGTGGGCAGTCTTGTTTCTGGTTTTGTACCGTAGTGGTATGTAGGTGGGGTCTGCAGGAATCCTATGAACATAGAAGGACGTCAATTTGACTGGGACAAAGTTATAGTACTAGGACAAGCGAGACAAAGACAAGCATGAGAATTCCTGGAGGCCTGGTTTTCAACCACCGATGCAATTAACAAAATGTTGAAATAGATCCCATCTACATACCACTACAGTACAAAACCGGAAACAAGACTGCCCGCCATGACAGACCGGACCATATAAATTCAGAGCCGTACAGAACATCAGCGCTTCAATGGAGGCTACACAGCGCTGACAACATCACTTAGAAGGGAGACATTCACACAAAAACCAGACAGCTCGGCAAACCAACCAACAACTCCAACCGCAACCCGAGCTACAGACCTTTGTGAAAACGTTACAGTCATTGTTTACATGGAGGCCCTCACTTCCAGTTACCAGTGGACAGGTCTCCACACAACATAGATAGGTGACAAAGAGCCCAATGCGGCTAGCTTTGCAGGAGGATGACCTCAATGTAAATCATGTTGGCAGTTACCAGGACTTGAGTGGTTGTGATGCCTACCAGCAGAACTGGTGGAAGTGGTCCATTAGGCACAGAAGGCCTAACGGGACAGACGGACGGTGAGCTCTAAGGCTTTGCACACTTTGAATTTAGTCTGTGTCCTGAGGCTATGTTTGCTCCACGCTCATTTGTAGAGTGTGCTGAATACCCTGTGTGCTTTGGGAGGACGACTGCCCACTTCACTGTCTGCAGTAGCATCAAGCAAGGTGGCCCTCTTCAAATAGAGGGGAACTGATATCTAAGCAATCCATAGGCCAGCATGATCCCACAGGAGAAACCACATAGAATTTTACAGAACAGAAACAGGATAAATAGTCAGTGCCTACATCTGGACATTCAGAGTAATTCTAAAATGGAAACAGGTCATTCATTCCAACCAGTCCATATTGGTGTTTATCCTCCACAGAAGCAGTAGATGAAATCTCATGGTCCATTTTTTTTTGGTTGGTTCTCTTTGTCAGTGATCCGATACCCAACTTGTTCTTGAAGACCACCATGGTCTTTTTTACCCCTGCAAGAGTCGAAATCCTGGAACTCCCTCCCTTATCAACATTGTGGTTCTGACAACACCACATGAACTGCAGTGGTTCTGAAAGTCGGGTCACCAACGCCTTCCTAAAGGCAACTGGGGCCGAGGAACAAATGTCAGTGACACTCATGTCTCAAAAAGAAAACGAAAGGGAACTCAATGTAATCCTGCTTAATCTCCATTTCATTTTATGTTTCTCTTTTCCAAGCAAACGTATAAATGCTCCTTCAAAAGAATATATCCCTGCCACAATCTGAAACAGAGAATGCAAAATATCCTCTTCATGAAGATTATTTACTGATCGTCAATTTGGTTCTGTGATTATCAAAAATTTGCGCCCATTCAGTACCATCTTATCAAATCAGCAGAAACAAATTTATCCCCATTTACTCACCCAATTATAAACCATTCACATCTTGAACACACACGTCAGGTCACCTCCCTGCCTCTCAGCTCCAGTGGGGAGAAATAAAACTGTATAACTTCTCTAAATCTCAGTTCATAACTGGAACACATCACCCTTGGTGAAATTCGTCCTTCAGCATAGAAGCTGTTAGCTTAAATACCAAATTGTTGCGGCAAGTTGCCTAGTAACAGATAGAACCTATTTTTGCTTGGAAAGTTTCCAATTTGAACATACTGGAACGCAGGCACACTGAATGGGAAGGGGATGTAGATTTCTCAAGAAAGACTTTCTCAGCTGGCACCTACTTCCAGCACCAGCAACATGACTGGCCTAAGAAGGAGTTAACCTTATGGTTATTTCTTGTCCCATGCTATTTTCATAAAATCATAGAATCCCTACAGTGTGGAAGCAGGCCATTCGGCCCACTGAGTCCACACCGACCCTCCGAAGAGCATCCTACCCAGTCCCACCAACCCCCAACCCCATCCCTATAACCCTGCAATTCCCATGGCTAATCCACCTGGCCTGCACATCCATGGACACTATGGAGCAATTTCCCACGGCCAATCCACCTACCCTGCACATCTTTGGACTGTGGGAAGAAAATGGATCACCCAGAGGAAACCCACGCAGACACGGGAAGAATGTGCAAACTCCACACAGACAGTAGCCTGAGGTTGGAATCAAATCCGGGTCCCCGAGGTTCTGAGGCAGCAGTGCTAACCACTGATCCATTGTGTCCCCCCCCAATTTTATCTCAAGCAAATTGCTTCCACTTGTGGGCATCCATTTTACCCAGTTTCAGAGTCTTTTTATGCAGTCCACACAACACTTTTGCTGATCGCCATGAACTTGCTTCCCAGTTAATTATCAATGAGCCGTGAATAGGTCCTGTTTAGAATTCATACATCAGACATTCATATCAATGTCATATCACTGCAGACTACAATCAGGCACAGCAGCTTCTTGATCACCTTCAATTTTGTAAGATTCCTCATCCCCACAAACATTCTTGTGAATCTACATTCCATCGATTGCATTGCTTTTTCATATGGTTAACTGTTCCATAATATAGCACCCAAAAGCCAAACAATAATAACAACCTATATGGGGTCCTGTGCACACTTATCAATACTTCCTCGCTTGTGTATTTGACATCTCTGTCTCCAACTGCAAAAACAGGTTCCTTTGTTTAATTCTTTTAATTAATTGGGGCTGATGCATTTTAGTGACTCGCAAATCTGCACACGAAGAGTAGTCTGCTCCTTTACGCCATCAAAATCTTACCAATTAAATTATAAGAAAGGAGAAGCAGGAAAGTCAGAAAAGAATAACACCCAAGATTGCTCCAAGGTCCAAGCCCAAGTCCCAGCCACCATCTTCCCATTCCTTACCTTTCACTGGATTTGCTGCTTGTTTGAGCATTAATTTATCCATTTTCTTTGCGTAGAACACAGCATACCAGACACGCAGCTCTGCACCAGGCTGAATATCCTGTAATGGAGGACAAAAATGGCCTGAAAACGTGTAGGCAAATCCATACCAATCCCAATAGCTCCCAGTATAAATGGATTTCCTCTTTAATGAGTTAAACAGTCTTAGACCTCTTTTACTTTTTCACCAGTTATAGAAAACGCACATTAAACCCTCATTCATCAAGATTCTGAAACTAGGAAGTACAAATTCCTCTGGTCAAAAGAATCTGCTGCAATTTTCTCTAGTTCCTAGTTCACTTAAACCAGATTTATCACAGTCCTGCTCAAATAATCCTGAGTTCAGAATCCAGAAGACAAACCATCAAAATCACCTTCAGCTGCATGAGCAATGACGATCCGGTCAATAATGATGCAAAGGACGAAAAAAAATCACTAACTGACACAGTTTGACTGAGGCAAAAGAAAAAGAAACTTTTATATTCTAGGAAGGCACAGCTATCACTGCAGGTTTGGTAAACTATCTTTTCTGCTACCAGAGTACCAGACAGGAACAAGACACGTCATTGTTCCCTCACCCCAACAGAGTTTTGCTCCAGATCATACCTCCAACTTACTTTACCTCCAAGCAGTTGGAGTCCTCCATCTCACTTTTTATTCTGTTTTCCTCTAACACCCTCCCTCATCCCATACTCCCCACCTCAATACAAATTTTGGATCACTTGTCCTATTCTCGCTGTCTCACTGCATCTGATTATGCACTGGTGAGGTGCTCTGGGAAGTTTTACCGAGGTAAAGGCGCTACAAAAACATAGGTTGCTTTAAAGTGTTGATGTGAGCTCCTGACTCCATATATGCCCATTCATGAATAATGGTACAGGACCATCGCCATTGTCTTTGGAATCATATGCCATTAAGGAACCAGTGTCATCCAGAGAAGTGGGGAGACACGTACTGTGAATATAACAAAGCTATTTCAAATAATCTAAAGAAACAGAAACAGGTCATTCAATCTATCAGATCTGCCCCAGATTTCCTTTCAAACTACATATCATCTCAGTCCTCTGTTTTATCCTTAAAATTTTTAACATTCCCCTTTCATTTCAAGCTATTATTTAATTCTCTTCCAATGACTCACATTATAACTGACTTATGATGATAATATTACTAATCTCTGTTAACTCTTAATTGAGTTTTAAATTAGCACCCTTGTGTTACTGTTTTAGAAAATGCATAACTGTTTATATTATCCAATCACCTATCAGCTTCTTATTCTTAAAGACTTCTGTCACCTCACTCCACAATATTCTTAGCACTAATGGAAAAAATTCTGACTTCACAAGTCTCACTAAAACACCTCAAATGAAGAGATAGACCAGACAACACTGCCTGGTTCATCAAGCTTATTCTAAAAGGCCATGCAGCAATGAGGAATTATGACCACCTTTCTCATTAGTCAGTCGTACGATCTTCTGGAAGAAGCAAATGAGAAGTATTTGAAAAACCCTTGGTCAAGTGGGGATGGTAGACAAAAGTTCTCTCTGTGCCCCGAGGTATGACTCAATGAAACTTTTTCCTGCTGTGCACCCATTTTAACGTTTCAGATGGTTTAAACCCAGCCTAGAAATTTGTGGGATGACAGCTGTGTGCAGGGGAAGCTTTAGTACATGATGGAGAGGGAGTGGAGAGAGAAACAGAGGTTAAGCATGGTGGGAGGTGATGAAAAGGCAATCAAAAGAAATAATCTCCTATTTATTTTTGCAGCAGCGGCAATCAGCCTCAGAGAGCTATCCATTAGGCTATGCCCACCAATAAAGTAAATATACAAGGATTTTGAAGGGGCCTTGCAGCTGCCAGAAAGGAATCTGAGCCCCATGATAACCACTGCTGTCTCAAAGTTCGTGACCCCAGAATCTTATCTCATGACCAGAATGGGGACATGACGCTCAGTTTGGCAAGCCTGCCTCAAGGCAATCACAGCTGATGATAAGGTACAAACCAAACATCTCCCTTATATCCCTAGTTGACGCAGAAAGCACATCTGATCCCAACACGACCTTCCACTTTCATTCAAGAGTTTCACAGCATATCGATGCCTGGATCGTTGGTTGAGTCTGTACCTGCAGAGTGTTGAAGTAAATGTCATGGCTGTGTTGATAGGCTGTGAGATTTTGATGATGAAAATCTGTCGCTGGTCTCACAAATATCATCCAATTGCAGTCCTCTTCATTTGTGGTGTCAAAATAAATATCAGGTCCATCCTTCTGGAAAACCTTGTACATAAAATTTAGCAGACAGAGAGGTTGTAACAGGTACAGCTACAGCTCTCGAAATAGCATTTATGCAATAGATTACATTACAGATCCCCTGACCTTGGCTGTACCCATCAACAAGGTCAGAGCAGAAAGAGACAGTGGACTTATTCATTTGTTAATGAAGTGGAAAAGAATTGCTAAAGTAAGCAAAATTATCTGCAGACTGTTTCAACATGTCTGTAGATTGTCAATGATTTAATCTGGAGCCTGTTTTCTCATTTATAGAATAAACCACAAAGTCCTGAACCCGCTTCCAGGTCAATATTCACCTTCAATCTAAAAGACAGAAAATAACAGATCATCTAGGCATTATCTCATTGTTGTTCATGGGAGCTTGCAGTACAGAAATTGGCTCTGCACTTCCATCAAAACAGTGCCTTTGTTTCATAAAATAATTTAAAATCAGCTGTAAAGCACTTTAGGATATCTTGAGCTAAGATCAGGAATGGCATCATGTAAATGCAAGCTATTACGTTATTGGAGGCTCTAGGGGAAAGACCGCCTCACCACAGCAAGCGTTAGCAAGCTCATTGCAGGTCAGGACTTAAACCCAGGAACAGACAGGGTGAACAACACCATAACTAAAGGATTAGTGGCACAGAATAAATGTCAAAAGTTTGACTCACCTTCAGAGAAAACACAGCTTCTTTTTCCAGTTGGGAAACTCTTTTGGCTTCAAATGGTCCAAACTGTGTACGTTTTACCAGGGGTGACAATGCAAAGACCCCTTCACTTCCATCTTCCAGTTGTCTAATCTCCAAACTAGATGGTAGGGAGGACCTAGACAATATAAAAACATCCACCTTTTCAGAAAATCAGACTTCACATCACAAACCAGAAAAGTAAAGCTTGATGATAATCTGGTTTTGAATATACAAATGACAATCAATTATGAACATGACTAGGCCATCTGGCCCCTTGAGGCTGCTCTGCCAGTTGTTAAGAAAATGGCTGAACCGACTCTGGCCTCAACTCTATTTTTCTGTCTATCCCTTGTACGTTTTGACTTCTTTCAGTCAAAAATCTATCTACCTTTCTCCAAAATATATTCAGTCACTCCTTCTTTGAACAGCTTCTAGTTTAATTATGTCCTTTCTGATATAAGGAGATCAATACTGAACACAGTACTCAAGACATGCTCTCACCATTGCATGTAAACCTCCCTAGTTTTATATTTTATTCTTTTTGCAATAAACAACAAATGTTATCAGTATATTTATAAATCAATCTGCACTTCTTCAGCATGACAGATTCTGAAGTGGTTAGTGGGGTTGATTTTAGCTGGAGGAAACCACATGGGCATGTTCATCTGGCAGAAGATAATCATCCTGTTCTACCAACTCAACTAAATTAGACCCTTGCTAATCTGCAGAGGGAACTCAACAAACCTCAAGGTGGCTGAAGATATTGTCAAGCAGGAAATGGATGTTAGCGCTCTCATACTAATCTTAACACCTCCTCTGCTGCATTCTCATGAAGTATGGTTTCAAATTAAACACAGGGAGTTGAAATATTACCTTGATTTACCGTGTAAATAGTCTGTTCTTCCTTTAATGATCAGATAAGTGCTGAAATAGCCTTGCTCAACAGAAACTATATTCAGTATACTTTAACCATTTATCCTATTGGCGCTAAGAAATTTAAAAAGTCCATCTGGATCAAGAGTTTAAATACACACCAGGTTTTCAAAAGGCAGCCAAGAAGAACTCTACATATTCTGTTCTCAATTTTTTTTTCTTATTCTCAGAGCACGTGGGCATCACTGGCAAGGTCAGCATTTATTGCCTATCCCTAATTGCTCTCGAGTTGCCTGGCCCGTTTGACCATCCTGGAGGGTACCCGGAAGTTAACCGCATTGCTTTGGGTCCGGAGTCACATGCAAACTAGACTGGGTAAGGAAGGCAGATCTCCTGCCCAAAATGGAAGAGGCATTAAGGAACCAGATGGGTTTTTATGACAATCAATGATAGTTGTCATGGTTACCATCAACATTATTGAGCATATGACCATTACTGAGACCGACTTTATATTCCAGATTTGATTAATTGAATTTTAAGTTCAATCAGCAGTTGTAGTGGGATTTGAACCATGACTCCAGAATATTAGCCTGGATTACCAGTTCAGTATCAGTACCATTGTATCACCATCTCCCAGCTGGTTGCCTTAGGATTTGCTAAATTCCCAAGATGCTACCATATTGCCATGACCTGAAACAAGACAGAATGAAAGACTAGGACAAAGCAGAGATGGGATTACATAATAAGAACATAAAGAACTAGGAGCAGGAGTAGGCCATCGGCCCCTCGAGCCTGCCCCGTCATTTAATAAGATCATGGCTGATCTTTTTGAGACTCAGCTCCACTTACCTGCCCGCTCACCATAACCCTTAATTCCTTTACTGTTCACTTGATTGGACTAACTGGGACATTTGACTTTTGATTTAAAAAAAAATCATTAAAAACCATGGCAATCCCAACTCGCAGGTTATAATACATAAGAAATAGGGGGATAGAAAAGTGTCATTAGTTTTAAAAATAACGTCTTTGCAATTTCTTTTCCAAATTACAAATGCCTTTGCTCCTTACCGAGCCCGGCTCAAAACGAAAGAGTCGCTGACCGTCACCAATGGACCAAGTTCAGGACACTCTGAGTCGTGGTACTCCCCACAGTCATCGCACCCTGCAAATAAAAGGAGAGATGATCCCTTCTGAGTATTCATTCTTCCAATCACTGAAATATTTAGTTTCGCCAAAAATATTGGATCAGATAGGATACCTAATTCACAGGTTGCATACAGCACTATCAGATCAAACACAGAAGGAGTGACATACTAACTGTATAACTTGTGAGTGGAATAATCAGGAGCAAGTTGTCAACAGCTTAGGACAAATGATTGCCTATCAGCAGCCATCACTTTCTCACTGTATACAATACATTTTAGCTGAAATTTATCATTTCATAGAAGCAAAATACTGGAAATATGAAATAAGAAAGGTGTTGGAAAAACTCAACAAGTCAGCGTAGGGAGGAACAGAATTAACATTTTCAATTGAACTCTTCTTCTTTAGAATTCTCAGAAACCGAGATTACTTCTCACCAAATAACTTTCAAAAACAGCAGCCAATATAGATGGAGCTGAGGAAGCAACATAAACGTGCATTTATATTGTACCACTCCTGACCTCAGGATGTCTCAACAGCAGATTAAGTGCTCCTGAAGTATCATCTCAGCACTAGGAAGCACAGTGGCTAAATTGCTCACAGCAAGTTCTTCAGAACTCCGATGAAGATTAATTTGACTTGAAACATTATGCTTCTCTCTCCACAGATGTTGCCAGGTCTGCTGACTTTTCCAATGCTTTCTGTTTCTATTCAGGTTTCCAGTATCTGCAGTCCTTTGCTTTTATTGTAGGAACTGGATGACATTGGTAAAAACTAGTTTCCTGCAAGACTCTTACACAGCCAAGGAACAGAGAGAACTTTAACTCATGAATCATTGAATAAAATCTGCATAGTCTACACCAGTTCACCAACAAGCTTCTCTTGGTGTCATTTGTTTACTGATAATTTTCCCATTTGATTAACATGAGAGGGTTTTTTTTTTTTATTGAAGAGAGTGGTCTGTGAACAGCCAGAGAAAGTGATGGATGCAAGTACAGTTACAACATTTAAAAGACATTTGGATAAGTTCATGAATAGGAAAGGTTTGGAGGGATATGGACCAAGCACAGGCAGGTGGAACTAGTTTAGTTTGGGAACATGGTCAGAGTAGACTGGTTGGACTGAAGGGTCTGTTTCCGTGCTGTATGATTCTATGATTCTATCCAGAAATGCAGGAGTCCTACATAAGAGAATGTGTGGATCCCGCACCCAATGTGCTCAGAGCAAGTGTGGGTGGCGGTGTGAACAAAGCAATTCATTAGCTCATCCACCAAATTGCAGAGTTTGTGTACAGATTATTCCAAACTTATTTGCCGGACATTCCAGGAACAAAACCTTACAGATTCTGAAATTAATTGGGACAACAACAATTTTTGCACACTCATCCACAAATGTTCGAATACTTACAGACAAACAATTTCCCATCTGTTCCATCGCCTGCCATCTGGATCTGTGAGAATAAAGAAAACAATCCATGAACACGGGAGTTAATGAAGGCAGTATTTTAATTTCAAACTTGCGTGTGTGTAAGAGTAGTACATGTAGGAGCACAAGTTGGATATTGGGTCCATCAAGTCTGCTCCGCCATTCAATGAGATAATACCTGATTTAATCCTCAACTCCACCTTCTTGTCTTTTCCACACGGCCCAAAATTCCATAACTGATTAAACATCTGTCTGTCTTGGCCTTGAATACAATTAATTATCGAACCAGCCTCAACAACCCTTCAAGGTGAAGAATGCCACAGATTCATTACCCTCGGAGAAGAAATTCCTCCTCATCTCTGTTTTAAATGGACAGAGTCCCATACTCAGATTATAATCTCTGGACCTAGACTTTCCCACAAGTGGGTCAATAAACTCTCTGCACCTATCAGGCCTCTTAAGAATCTTAAATGCTTCAAGAAGGTCTTCTAAATTCCAATGAATACAAGCCCAACTTACTGAACTCTCCTCATAAGACAATCACGCCATAACCAGGCTCACTAGTTTGATCTATCACTGGAATGCCTCTAATGCTGGTATATTTTCCCTTCAATAAGGGGACCAAAACTGTTTACAGCATTACAGCTATGGTCTAACTGGTAATTTGTATAGTTTTAGCAAGGTCTACTCCATTCCGTTTGAATTAAAGACCGACAGTCCATTTGACTTCCCTATTAGAGGCTGAACTTTTATACTAGCTTTTTGTGATTCCTGCATGAGGAGCCCCAAATCTCTCTGTGCTGCAACTTTCAGCAGTCTCTCTCCATTAAAATGATATTCATCTCTTCTATTCTTCCTGCCAAAATGCATAACCTGACATTTTCCCACATTATATTCCACCTGCTGACATTTTGCCCACTCACTTAACCTGTCTCAATTCCTCTGCAGAATTTCTGTGCCATCATCACCACCTGCCTTCCCACCTACTTTTGTTTTATCTGAAAGCTTGGCTATAGTACGATCATTTCCCTCATTCAAGTTATTAATATATGTCAGAAGTAATGGTGGCCCCAACACTGATCCTTGTGGCACTCCTCTCATTACAGGTTGCCATCCTGAAAATCCCCCATTTACCCAAGCTCTGCCAAATATTAGTATTCGATCCTCTATCCATGCTAGTATACTACATTGAGCACCTTGAGCTCATATCTTATTACACAGCCTTCTGTGTGCTACCTTATCAAACACCTGTTATAAATCCAAATATATTACATCTACTGGTTCCCCTTTATCTATCATGCTTGCTACCTCCTCAAAGAACTGTAATAAATTTGTTATATGTGACTTCCCCTTCATGAAACCATGTTGACTCAGCTTGGTATTATATATTTCTAAACGCTTTACTGTTACGTCCTTTATAGTAGACTTTAACATTTTCCCAATGACAGATGTTAAGCTAACGGGCTTTTTTGTCTCCTCCTCTTTTTGAACAAAGGTGTTACATCAGCAGATTTTAAATCATAGGGAACCCTACTGTGTGGAAACAGGCTATTCAGCCCATCAAGTCCACATTGACCCTACAAAAAGCATCCCACCCAGAACCAGCACCCGCTCCCATCCCTGTATTTCCCAGGGGTAATCCACTTAACCTACACATCCCTGGAAACTATGGGCAATTTAGCACAGCCAGTCCACCTGACCAGCACAGCTTTGGGCTGTAGAAGGAAACCGGAGCACCCGGAGGAAACCCACACAGAAACGGGGAGAATGTGCAAACTCCACACAGACGGTTGCCCGAGGGTGGAATTGAACCCGGGGTCACTAAGCCACCGTGTCACCCAAACCAAGGTGGAGAATGTGAGCATCGACCCCATTACCTCTCACACGCTAAGCCAGTGCTCTACCATTTGAGTTAATTCCTCAAGACGAATCCTCTGGGATTCTTCCAGAATTTAAAGGATTCTTAAAAGATTACTATCAGTGCATTCACTATCTCTATAGCCACTTCGTTTAAAATCCTAGGATGTAACCCATCAGCTTCAGGGGACTTATCAGTCTTTAGTCCCATTAGTTTCCCCAAATACTTTTGCTCTAGTGATTGTTACTGTGTTTAGCCTCCTGAATATTTAGTATTCCTGGAATGCCATTAATGCCCTCTACAATGAAGATTGATAGAGTATTTATTCAACCTGAGATCTGCACATTGCCAGAACATGCAGGGACTGTGTATAAAATACAGGCACAGTTTGACAGACCACCTCTGACACTACACTCAATCTCACTGCAAATACTGCATTGTCATCCAAACGTTCCTTCCAACCAACCCCTGCAAATACTAGCACAATCCTACAGGCTACTCTTCAAATAATTCCACTCTCCTGGTAGCCTTCCACCCTGTCAATGTCTTTGCTAATGTTAATTACTGGGATTCCGAGCAAACAGTACAGCAACCATGGAGTGCTGAACTCTAAATTCCAAAAGATGTTAAGTACACAAAGAAACCGGTGCTACCTCTGCTGAGAACCTGCCTAACAGCAATAGAGTTAACACAAGATAAATAGTATTAGCACGTGCATATTCAAACCCAAAATGATAAGGCAGAATGTAACAGATTTGGGAAATTGAGTGATTCCCTCTTACAGCCTACAGAGTTACATTGCAAAGCTATGTTCTGAGTGATGGAGAAACAAAGACTATGACTCACCAAATAACCATCAAAAATCATACCTATATCTAGATGGGTTTACAAGCAACAGAACTTGCATTATGTAGCATCACTCCTGACCGCAGGATATCCCAGTAGATGGTTAAGTGCTCCTGAATGGTGGTCACAACAGTGGGAAGTTCAGCAACCAATATGCACCCAGGAAGTTGAGATAATAACAATGAGATAACACGTAGGTCAGCGGTTCCCAAATTATGGGTGGGGCAGGTGAATGGGGCGGTGAGAAATAAAAAGCATCCTGATATCCCATCACCTTGAATTGTTCCAGCCGTGGGAAGTAACAAATTACAAGCCAAACGTCTGATGTTCAACTCTAAATAGCTGCTGTGGATCTGATCAGTGATGGGAGATAACTCTGCCTCTACTCCAGAATGTCAGACTTTCTCAGAAATGGCTTCTTGACGTGATTGAGATGGAGGTGGAAGCACACTTAGCAATTGACATCAGCCCAGTCTCCAAGAATCTGGAATTTTCACACTTATAATAGTTTGTTATACATGTTACCACAAAATGAGCAATCATTAATAACGTACGGAATCTTTCTATGCTGCTTCATTTTCTTTGTTGGTGTTTAGATCATGTTAATTTTCATGCATTGAAATGCCTTTAAGCTATCTGCTTCAGTGATATAGATTGGGAGGTAAATATTGACAGCACCAGGGAACTTCCTTTCTCTTCACAATCCTGCCATGGGATGTTCCCATATCCATCTGAAGGGCAAACCGGGTCTTGGTTTACAGTTTGTTCCCTCACTATTGCATGTCTACAGCAGCAGCCCAGAGTTTGTAGTTCACATTTCTCAGACCAATCAGCGCTCGATACCACCATGTGCTGACTCAGTGGTGAATGTGCTCTCAACTTGGTGACGACATCAGTGGACATGATGCAGTTCAAACATTGACCAAGTGATTTTTATTCTCAATAAACAAAAGTTAAAAGTCCAAAATAAAACAAACAAAGAACTGTCACAACTGAACAGGTTAGCAGCTGCAAAGAGAAAAAAGCGTTCAGTTTTACATTGAAACAAATATGTAGAATGCTGGAGAAACTCACCAAGTCTGGCAGTATTTGCGGACAGAATGAGAGCTGACATTTTGAGTCTGGTATGACTCTTCTTCAGCACATTTCTATTCAATTTCTCTCCACTGCCAGACCTGCTGGTAATAAAGTTTCGAGTTCCCCAGGCTTTTATAATAGGGGCACTGATACAAACACAAGGAAGTCACGTTAAAAATGTAGAAAACACTAGCTCAGCCTCAAGTGGAATATGGCATCATTTCTGAGCACCAGAGTTTAGGAAGAATGTCGGAGTGTTAGAAAGTACAGAAAAGACTCACAGGAATGGTTTCAGTAATGAAGAACTTGAGCGAAGTCCGCAGATAGATTGAGGGAGTTGAGAATGTTTTCCCTGGAGAAGAGAAAGTTGAGAGAAGATTCAATAAAGTTACTCAAAGCGTACAGGGGTCTAGACAGAGTGCAGAGGGAGAAACCGTTCCCACCTGTGAAAGAATCAAGAACTAGAGGACATAGATTTAAGCAAAGGAAGTAACACGAGGTGATACCTTTCCAAAGACTATTGGTTAGGATCTGGAGTGCACTGTCTGAGAGTGTGGAGGATGCAGGTTCAGTTGAGGCACTTGAGAATCAATTACTTTATTATCTGTTGAGAATGAATGTGCAGGGCTTTAGGGAGAAGGGGCAGGTAAGCGGCACAACTGAATTGTTCATTCAAAGACTCCACACAAATATGACAGACCAAATGGCCTCCTTCTGTGCTACAGCCTTTCTATGATTCTATATCCAGTTTCATATACTTTAATAACCCTGCCTAACAAGAATATATCTTGAAAGGATGGTAGTGGAATGCCTTCTTAAGTTACTACAGTTCACACAGAGTCATAGAATCATACAGCACGGAAACAGACCGTTCAGTCCAACCAGCCAATGCCAAACATAATCCCAAGTTAAACTCGTCCCACCTGCCTGCTCCTGGCTCATATCCCTCCAAACCATTCCTAGTCATGTACTTATCTAAGTGTCTTTTAAGCTCATCCACTTTCCTCAGGAAGTTCATTCCACACACAAACCACCTTCTGTAAAAATATTTACCCCTCATGGTCTTTATTAAATCTCTCTCCTCTCACCTTAAAAAATGCCCCCTAGTTCTTGAAATCCCCCATCCTAGGGAAAAGACACCTATCATTAACCCTATGTATACCCCTCACATAGTGCTGTTAGGGAATCTCAAGATTTTGACCTAGTGACAGTGAAGGAACTGTAATGTTTTTCCAAGTCAGAAC